GCCCAACCCAGGCAGGTTGCCACAGCCCAGGACATGCCAACCTCTGATATCAATGTTAGTTCTAGACACCATGTCAAGTCAAAAGGAGAATCCAAATTTTAAAAAAGCATACCTCGATGGGAAAGAGGGAATACCTCCGCCGAATATGTGAACGGCACGGGTCCTTCACCGGGAGAGTAGAATGCGGCGAATAGGAAGACGAAGAATGCAATCGAAGCCAGGTGACCTGTACCCTCAGGAGTCCAGAAGCAGAAAGCAGCGCCAAGCAAAGTCCATGCCATCTGCGGGAAAGTGAACAACAATAGAGTCCGACGACCATATGTATCGATAGTCCAGATAGCAGGGAAGGCGAACACAAAGTTAACCAGGCCGAATCCCCAGGACGCAAACAAAGCCTGTGTATCACTTGCGCCGGCATTCTTGAAGACAGTAGACGAATAAAAGGCAACGATGTTGATACCGCACATCTGCTGAGCGATCATGACAACGAACGAGGCAAGAGTAGCACGGCGGACTCGAGGAATAGTGAAGAGCTCAATAAAGCGGGTGACATAGTTACTCTTGCCGATGATGTCCATTTCAATCTTGATTTGGGCATGGATATAGTAGAGGTCGCGAGCAGCCTGCAAAGACGTGTTACGGAGGCGGCACAGAGACTTGTATGCCTTACCCATCTCGCCCCGTCGAATGTACCAGCGAGGTGATTCTGGGCAAAAATAGATACCGAATAGGAGAGGGATAGCCGGGATAAAGGCCGATCCCAGCTGTAAACGCCAGGATATTTTACCGGTATCCTTGACAGCAAGGTTGGCACTGAATCCAAGGAAAATGCCAAAAGCGGTCCAGAGCTGCCAGGACATGACTAGACCACCGCGGATAATAGCAGGAGTATTCTCGGCGCAAAAGATCGGAATTGTCGAGGCCTTGAGACCCATTCCAATACCGAGGAGGAGACGGACCACAAACAACTGTACCCAGCTCTGGGCTACTGCAGAGCCAATGGGGGTAAGAACACAAAAGATAGATGACATGAAGATTGTACCGCGTCGGCCCAGGATTCGGTTGCATGGGTCCGAGAGCCAGCATCCAAAGCAAGCACTGGCGATGTAGGGAGCAGCGTTCACGATGCCAACGAGCCACAGGTTTCGATCGGCATGAGCACTCTTTTTGGGATCATCTGAAATACCAAAAGCATCGGGGAAGGACAGGTTAGCACCATTGGATCCAGTTTGGTCCCAGCCTCTGTATTGATGTTAGGAGTGTACCCAAAGTGTTCTGGGAGCATTACATACTGCACGGCTGCACCAATAGAGCACAGGATAATGGTGAAGTAAAGTGATCTAGGCTGGCGCCACTTGTGAAGCACTTCGTCACGGAGGGCATTGAGCTCCAGCTCGGTCAAGTCTGACACTGTCTCAAACTCGGTAGGATTGCGCGCAACTAGCGCTCCTTTCTTCAACTCAGGTAGGATATCAGTCACGTTGTATTCCTCGGCAAACTCTTCCACATTGCGGAGCACTTGGTTCTTGGTCAAGTCGGCCAATGGGTTCTTAATCCTGAATGGTGTTAGGGCACTGAGAGGAAATGGAAATATAAAAGCGGAGAACTAGATCCTCAAGCAAAACTTACTTGGCGGACAAATTGTTGTGAAGGTCAATTTGCTCAAAGCATCCCTTCTCAGCGCTGTTTTGATCATCGCTGGAACTATGTGAAACTGACATGAGCATGACAAAGCGACCAAGAAGGATGTAAGACTCACTGCTGGCCAGAGTCCACCTCAGTGATATCCTCTTTATTCATTTGGAAGACTGTCTAGTCAAGCTGTTAATAGGGGACCAAGAAATAAACAGGCCTGTGGGCTTAGCTGACCCTTATGTAGAAAAGAGGAAAGAGAAAGATTGATGGAAAGAAGGAGCTGGAAAACCAACAGCTTTGGTTACCGCAGTATCTCGTTTGAAAATTAGTCTCTAGAGACAAGCAAAGTGGTGAATGGTAACTACTGACATTGGGGGGAGGGGACCGTCTTTATATGTTCCCCAATCTTTTCCCAGGGCAGTCCGTTTGACAAGAGTTGCACATCTCATTGGCTGGAATAAAAGATGTCAAAACCTCAAGACTAATGCTAAAAAGGCACGTTATTGTCATTACCTCCCTCTGATCTACTTCCCGAAACGGATCTAATCCGGGGGTCCCGCGTGTAATTGCCCGTGGGGAAATCCCAAACCGTAAGAAAATGGAGAAAGACATACTCCACTCTTACGGTAAGCCTTCGACCCTTAGTGGAAAGACCTGGGCTCGGCAAAATGCTACATTAGAGGCTATATTCTCTGCCAAGTACTAGAAACAAGTATGAGACTCTCGGTCCAACCACTGCATGCATCTGGACAAGAACCCATTTGGCTCTCGACCGGGATCCCGGTCCAGACCCGTTCAAGTCCGAATCGAAAGTGAACCATTCCCCAGATTTATCGTCTAATTATGCGGCCCTTGACTTCATGTGCAATCAAACTCTACCCCACCCATAGTCCCATATCCAGATATGGAAAGTAATTGTCGCAAGGTATTAGGATCTCGATATTGGGCGCCTGGCGCCACATTCTACAAATTGTATCGCGCTAAGGTAGTCTCTGGGCATGGACTAGAAATTAGGCATCTGGCCAGTCGATTGACGCTAACTGAGGCTTAAATCACGGTAATTTCTGCCGTTCATGCTTGTTTCCGGTGAACAGGGCTCCGGCTTTCACGTAGCCCGAGATATTTACGCAGTGGAACCGCATTGGGATCTAAATTCTCTTGGTTATAGGAAATATAGTAGATGACATCTGAAATTGAACCCTCCGAATTTAAAAGGGAGAAAAAAGAAATTAGCAATCGGGGGCAGAATTGCGAGCCATTTGCTTGGCGCTAACGCAGTCTAGTGTACCGAATTAGCCAAATACAACCTTAAGTCTTCGGGGACGAATTACCCCCCGGAGACCGGCATGGAAAGCCGTAGGGAAATATCGGACGCTTTTACGCCAATACTTCGATCCCGATCTTTGCTAGGATCATGCCGGTCCCAATCCGCCCCAGAGTTACCGTTTTTCGCTTAGAGCAATGAATGTTGGCTTTAAATGTAACCCCAGACCGAGCAATTATGATTGTCTTGCCGAGTCCAACTTCAAATATCCACGTGTTTCCATGCCTTGGCTAAATGCTGATCTGACAAAAGCGGCACGTTGGAAGATGATCGCATCATCACAAAAACGTGGACCAGAATTATGACCGTCTCCGGCGACATGTGGCTTTCGAGGCTCGAGCGGCCCGTGTCTGGGGGTTGCAACGCCAAGCTCGTGGGCCATGTGGGGATCGACAGTCGCCTATCCTGATTCAGTCATCCCTTGGGGAAATATTTAGAGATGCTTTTGTAACCTCTCGACGCCCCATGCAAGTCATGACACAATTCACAGTAGAATATTGAGATCACATCCTTCGGTTACTGCTGCTCCACTTTCGCCGTGCCCTGCGCCTTCCAATTTAGCATACTTGACATGTCAGATGCAGAGTATCCTTTGCGTACTAGGTTATTATATGAGACAAGTCTTGAACTAACTAGCTCTTAGTGTGGACAGAATGGTAGCATTGCCGATCAAGTGTTCGATCTTGGTACCGTGCTTCATGCCAGATCATGCGCCATGCTACTCCGTATAGAAGAGCAGTTCCCTATCATAGTCCACGGCAACCACTAAGGAGCTTAGTCCCATTGGCTTTTATTGCCAGCAGACAAGCCGCCGTCTATACAGTTTTCTAGGTTATTATAGCATAGCAATCAATCCAATATGTACTCCTAGTCACAAAGGGAGACAATCATGTGGAAAAGTAGTTTTATAGAAATTGTGCATTGGTGTGCGGCTAATCATTCTAAACAGATAACGTAGTTAAATCATAACCATAACATCTGTAATACTATCATCTTATCCCAATTTGTATTTAGATTCTCCACTTCATATATCGTGAAATACAAAAATCATATCCATGAAAACTGTGTTTTTAGGCTCTCTCACTGTAAATATATATCAGGTGGATCAATCGAAGTATAGAAATTACCTCTCAGAAGGCGGAGATCCAAGCGGTGAATCATACAAAGCGAATAGGACCAGAGTCCTCGGTCGTTATGCACTGCGTGATGGTTGTCTTTCCAGGAAGGGGTCTTGCGGGTGCCTGCACGCCTTCCCACGTACTCTTAACCGCCGAAGGATGCACGTGGTCAATGCATATTTAGGGGGCATCCGCGTGTCCTGCAAGGGGCAAAGCAAATGAGTAGTAGAGATATACGAAGTTTCTCTTAAACAAACATCCCTAACATTAGATCCGGATAAGCTAAGCGGTAAATTGCTTTTTCTTGATGCTAATGTTGCCTTGGGCCAAACAAAGACACAGTGACCGTACCGTACTCTCCCTATCGAAACCAATAGTTCCTGCACAGGGGTGAAAGCTTACTCGAAGAGAGTGAAGTGTATTATTTCCGTATTGTTGCCAATATGATATTGCTTAGAACTAATAGTGCAGATCCTGAAAGGGCGAGAGACCTCTCCGCCGCGGAATTTGCAGCAATCCCAAAATGTCCCGAGGATGACGATGACATCCAGCTGACCCGTTATAAACGAGAAAAGCTGGAAAGTGTGCTTCCGTGATGCGGATACGGTCTTGGCAATTGACGCAAGGGTTTGTCGCCATTTTCTAGGTCTCACCGCGGAGAGAATGGTAATCGGCTGTTTGAACGCCTTTCAATTAAAGACACGAGCCTGTCGCTCAGATTATCCTATGTAGCTACAAGTAGCCTGATTGCATGCTCTCGGCTTCGGGATGTCAAAGAGGTTGATGGTATGCCTGCTCTATGTGCCCCAACTTGTGTGTCTTTACGGGGCCCTATTTGGGATTTGAAATGCGAAAGAAAATAATGTAAATCAAGCCCCGTTATGTTATGTGTATATAATCTGATTCTATGCATTGGATGTTACTTAACAGTACTGCTCCATCCACCCTTTCAAATCTCCAATCGTTGGACAGTCAAGGAACAAAGAGCTCTTGACACCGAGCTGTAGTTCATTTCTGAACTTCTCAGCAAGAACAAGTGACATCAAAGAGTCAACTCCAATCTGCGCGAAGGTTGTCTCGTCCGTAATCTCAGAGACCTCGAGGCCAGTTTCACGTGCAATCAGGCTAATACAATCGCCAATGACACCAGAATCAGTCTCTACATTGACCACTACCTGTTGCACTGGCTCAGTAGTCTTGATTTCAACCGTCTGTGGTGGTAATATCGCCACCTCCTTGACAGGTGCAGCTAGAATAGGAGGAGTAATGCGTGCGGGTTGAGGAGACACCGAAGGGGAAGGACCGGCAGCACTCTTCCCGCTAGATGTGAAGAACTGATCCATCAAAAAGCGGGGGACTCGTTTGAACTTAATCTGGCCCAGCATACCGATAACGATGTCATCGCGAAGGATGTAAAGATCTCCCGCACGGACATTAACGTCGCTAGTAGGGAACATGCGAACGTAACTGCGATACTTTGCAGAAGGCGAAAGGGGCTCAATGAAGCGCAGGGTACCAAATCCAGGAGTGAGATAGAAGAAGTCCTTGGTGTTAGAGACATCGCTGGCATTCATGATGAGACCGGCCAAGTGGGAGACAGAATCGATCCAATGGGGAGGAATGTGCCAATTGCCGTATGTCTCCGGGACAAGGGAAATATCAGCATAAGCTTCGTATTCATGCAAAATGACCGAGTCCATGCCGCGATACTTGTCAGCATAATCAACCACATTCTTGAACAGAGTGTAGGCCATGTTTTTGGATATTCTGCTACAGACTCCCGCGGTTGCCATTTGGCTGAGGGCCTCGATGCGTCCGCTGACGAGGTGAGATACGCGGTCCCATTCGGCACGCCACTCTGCAGCCTCCTCGAAGAACATGTCGGCGGTTGCGAAGGGTACTTCGTCACGAGTGCCACTTTCTCCAAAGTGATACCATGCGAGAGTCATTGCGCGAGAAGGCATGTTCAGATTGCACTCGAGAGCGATTAGTTGAGGACCACTCGAGGGTTTCTTGGCGATGGTGGCATGAAGAACTTCCATGTTTGCCAGATTCATGTCCACTTTCTTGCAAGCAGGATTCATACGCTTGAATAGATAATCTCCGGCGGTGTACGCCATATCACACCAAATTGACTGCATATCAGAACGGTTAGCCATAGTCGCAAGCGCGAACAAAAGAATAATGATTACGTACCGAAGTGGCGACGCCACAGCTGTTCATTGTGTGTCCTTTCACTGAAGAGAGGAAATCAGGATGCATCACATCGGATAAAGTCTTCAGCTGGCCAGTAGTGTTGCCAATCTCTTCCATGGTAATCTGATGCACAGCAGAAGTTCGGAGTGCCGAGCTGGCGCGCATGTCACATGCATCTTTGGTTTTAGTTTGTCCGTATTTCAAGAGAGCCTTGTCAAGTGTCCAGGTTCCAATATATTGAATCCAGTAGTCCTTCGCGTTCCAGTGGTAGTGGGGGAGGTTGAGCAGGGTATGCGTGTGCTCATAAGGCCGGTAGTACTCGTTCCAGCAAATTTCCACACCGTGAGTGTGCAGTGATGCAAGTGTCTTTGTCAGGGTCGCAAAGTTGTTCTCGTTCTTCTTCAGCGACGGCAAGGCCGTTGCGCCTGAGAAATGCTTGGTAATAAACGAAGCACAAATGGGCTGCGGTCCAATATCAATCCAGATTGTCTGAGGATCGATGATACCCATTGCCTGGGCTGCGTCGAGAGCACCAACAAAGTTCACAGGCTCGCGTGAGGCACGACGCAGGTAATTTCCATTGATGGTCTTTCCGTCAAACACACATGCGCTCAATAGCGGAGATATGACAGGGAGACGGGGAGCATTGAACGAGATGTTCTTGGCAGTCTGCTCGAAGAGGTCCAACATTGGCTCCATCTGCTTGGTGTGGAATGCAAATGGTAGGTCAAGTGGAGTGCATTTCAAACCATGGGCTTCTAGAGTTCCGCGGATTTCCACGATATCATCACGAGTACCACTGATGACTGTGTCATTCCGACCATTATGACATGACACTTCGTACTTGCCAACATGTTCGACAGCAAGCTGAATGTCCTCAATGCTGGCTAGAACAGAGAGCATGAGATGAGTTCCAGCCTGACATTCTGCCATTGTGTAGAATGCGCGCTGTCCTACGAGCAGAATCGCGTCCGCTGCAGAGATCACTTCTGCAACAACCAAAGCGCTGTATTCACCAAGACTGTGCCCAACTACAGCAGTAGGGTGAATGCCCAAAAAGGCCCAGAACCTCGCCAAAGCAATCTCCACAACGAGGACACTTAGCTGAGTAACAAGGGGGAGACACCGGGGGTTTCGACACTCCCTGTGATCACAGGAATGATGGATGGGTATCCAAAACGTTGAACTATATCATCCAACTGAACGACTTGAGTACGGTAGTAGGGGAATTGCTCAAACAGCTGTGCACTAATCCCTTCATAGAAGGCCCCTTGACCGGTGAACGTAAATGCCACAGAGGGAGCATCGAGTGGAACGGGACGCAGCGTGGAGACAGTTTCCAAAGACTTTTCGAGGAACCGGCGAAGTTGATCAGGACTAGATGCAGCCGTAGCAACCCTGAAGTTATGCTGGATGCGCCGAGCACAGGCCGTGTAGGCCAGATCACCGAGGTCAGTGAGCGGATTCTTCTCCATATATGATAACAGGTCTTCGATGTTGCCCTTCAGCGACCCCTTGCTCTTTGCGGAGACTGCAATAACATGGGTTGCCCGAGGGTCTGTGCCAACCACCTGTCTTTCAGGGGAATCCTCGAGAAGGACAGTAGTGTTGCCACCGTGAGCACCAAAACTGTTAACAACAGCGTAACGGCTGGCTCCTTTCCGTCTTGGATAAGGAGTCATTTCCATGGCAAGTCCGATGTTGCGCTTTTCCAGACACTTGCGGAGGGCGGGGTTTATTTTTGTCTTGATGCCAATATGAGCAGGAATCATGCTCTTTTGGTAGACAAGAAGCATCTTGATCAAAGATGCAATGCCTGCAGCGGCTTCGCCATGACCAATGTTGGATTTGACAGCACCCAGAAGAAGAGATTGATTATCGCGACGGCGTGATGATACAGGAGCAAATACCTCGCAGACCGACTCACATTCAACCGAATCGCCAGCTTGAGTGCCAGTTCCATGCAGCTCGATAAAGCTCACATCGAGGGGATTGACGGCGGCAGCCTGCATGACTTGATTATAGTTATCCTTCTGAGCACCAGCATGTGGGTGGGTGATTGAGATCGCTTCCGCTGAATGGTTGGTGGCTGCGGCGAGGATGACACCCAGAATGTTGTCATTATCGGCCTCGGCATCTTCAATTCGCTTGAGAACAACCGAGCCAACGCCATCAGCACGACAGTAGCCGTCGGCGTTCTCATCCCAGACCTTGCATTGGCCAGTTTTCGATAGGAAATGCGCGTTGCAAAGTCCAGCATAATTGTCAGGATCGGTGATCACATTCAGACCGCCAGCAACAATGGTATCAGCTTCTCCCGCCCAGAGTGCTGAGCATCCAGCTTGAACAGCAGCCAGGCCACTTGAACAAGCAGTATCGAGATTGATACTTGGACCAGCGAACCCGAAGAAGTAGTTGATACGACCGTTTGCAAAGGCACGTACACCACCTGGAACGGCGTATGTTCCAAGATTCTGACTGGCATTTAGCTCACGCCAGTCGTCACTTGCCTGTCCGTAGTACGTTCCAACACGTTTGCTGTTGGACGAAGACGTCCGGTTTGGGACATACCCAGCCATTTCCAAAGCTTCGTACGCAGTTACCAATGCGAGACGCTGCATTGGGTCAGTCTGTTCGGCTTCCTTGGGGGACATATTGAAGAATCCAGCATCGAAGAGACCAGGGCTATTGATAAAATTCCCAAATGGCGTTTGCGTTGCGTTCTCAGTCTCTCCAGTAGGGTCATAATGGGTCTCCAGGTCGAACCGATCAGCAGGCACACGTGTGTGGGTGTCACGTCCATCGTCCAATAGCTTCCAGAACAATTCAGTGTCATCTGCACCCCCAGGCAGGCGACAAGCCATTCCAACAATTGCCACTTTGGAATCTTTGAACTGTCGTGGCTGACGAGGTCCGAAATATAGATGGGCCCAGTCTAGCAAATCCTGGCGCTTGATGCTGACTTGGGGGAGTTCTGTTTCGATGGCGGAGATGATTCCGTTGGAGATAAGGGTCGTGCGGAAGAATTTCACCTGGCAGCCAAGTGAATGAGAATTGGAGATACCGTCAATGATCCCCCTAGTAACGTTGTCCACGTATATGGAGCCAGTGAGGAGCTCAGTGCAGATTTCCTCGTATAGTAAGCCTGATAACAATGAACTGAAAGGCTTCCCCGTTTGCGAGGAGATTAATGGAATCTGTACCCGCTTGTTGCGCAGGATCTTTGGTTCAGGCTTGCTGATAACATCACAGATCGTCCCCTGATTGTACAAATGAGGTGCATGACACAAGCCCTCATATACTGGAAGAGGTAGAAACTTGGAATGCCGAAGCTTCTGCGAACGCAAGAAGATATCCTTCAGGCGGGAGGGTGGCCCACTGACACTGACTGAGATCTTATCCGCAGCACTGATGAAGATCTTGGTAAGTTCAGCATTGCACTATATGGGATTTTGATCAGCTTGATTCACTTGTTGCTTAGTTACCATTTAGAACACTTACGGTGTCGGCGTTGTACTGGTCGATCTCCTGCTGGACATCTTTTGCAGACATCCCAGTCACGACATAAGCCCAGCTCTGGGGAGGTGCACCAGGATCCCGAGCTTCTACCGTTCGAGAGATTTCGTCGATGTAGATTCCAAGACGGAAAGCAACCCGAACACTCTCAGCACCTGTGGTAGTGAGGTCATGCAGATTCTTGGAGAGTGAAACAGCTGCGCCGGCGAGCAATCCGATACTCAATCCGGCGAGAACCGTATTCTCGGCGGTGAGGTCGTAATCAATGTGCTGGCCTTCATGGTGACTGAGAGATAATATTTAGTGTCCGTTCGGTGCTTTCTGTTCAAAGTCATTTATTCAGAACGTACCCAATAATCATCCCGACTTGGAGGGCACAGAGAAAGGCGCTTTCCATAGACGCTCCTAGTGGGCCTAGGCGGAACTGGCCACCATCCACTAGTGTAAATAAGTCCTCGAATGGAGGAATGAGTTCCCTCAGGTGCTGCGGTAAACGGCTGGTCTCTTCTTTCAAGACCCGAGCACAGTTTTCCAGGAATGTAGCCAACAACGTGAACCGCCTATCCTTGCTATGTCTATGGAGACGGCGGAAAACATCTTTGAGATCGTCATTGGGAAATTCGTTGCTGAAGAATATCAGGTTTGTTGTGAAGCCATTGGTGCTGAAATCGTTGACGAAGTCACCTGATGACTCCGAGGCCGACGAGGGAGTATTCATAGTGAAAAAGTCTCGGCTAAAGCAACAATAACTCGCTGTAATACAATTAAATCGACAACAATGGCCTCAAACAGCAGTGAAAGGAAGGGATGTCCGATGAAGAGAGGACTGAGAGGCTGTTTTATAGCCGGAGACAGAACTATATAACCCTATCAGCTTTCGAAGGGACCCATCCGTGTCAGTTTCTTCGAGCAGCTCCCCCATAGAAAAGACTAATGCTTATGCGGTTAGCCGATCGAGAATAATAGGATTCTATGGCGCAGTATTCGCAGGGAGTCATGGGCGCTAGACCTGGCACGTCGTGCTTGACACGACGAACACGGAGTACCCTTTTCATGAGACTCGTCATCCACATTTTACTGCTTCGGGTATTTTACACCCACCAAAGACAAATTAGGAAAGGCTTAATCTAAGCAGTGTTTTCCCTGGGAGAATCTTGGACTATTACGAGTGATTACTAGGTCGTCAGCTGAAAAGCCACTAAGAAAGCCACCAAGAGTATTGGATGATACCCCATTTCAAAAGGTAAATACAGTTCATACAAATTAGTAGAAACTCTGTATAGTTGGAAACTTGAATTAATTGCAAGTTATTTTTTTTTTTCGAGCTGCTCAAGGATTGCCACTATGTTCACGCCATGATTGCTACCGAACAAATGAGCACATAAGCCTAAAATTCCGTGATAGCTCCTACCTAATGATCTATTAAGAAGGCATAAGATAATTCTTCAAACTAGAGTCTCTAGTAATTACTAATTACAAACGGAGGTCTTTTGCCAAATGTCAAATCAAAGATCAAAGAACTATATACTACCGAGAACTACTTCCAGTACGGAGCCAAAGCCTCCGCCGTATCCAGAATTGTCTCTTTGTATGTCTTGAAGGTCAATTCGACATGCTTCTGCACCTTGCTTGAGTCGAATCGGACCCCAGCCTCATCAAAAGTCCAGTCCTTGTTATAACTGAAGGTTTTATCTCCATCGGGGATGATATCCGCGCGTTCTGGGTACGCTTCTTTGAGGATGTCATAGATTGCTTTCTGAGGTCCATGCCCCGCGACCACCAGATATCGCTGCCCGTCAGCTAGTTTGGGGTTCTCAGTGCACCATAGGTAGATTTTAGCAATATCGCGGATATCCGAGTATGGGGCGGCTCCGGCGATCTTGGCAATGTGGTCCTGGGGTCCAGGCAGTTCTAGCCCTCGGAGAGCATTCAGGATCGACTTGCAGGTGGATGGAATTTCGGTTTCGGACTCTGGGAGAACAATTGGTGGACCAGTCGCGATGGATCCACAGATAGAAGCGATGGCAAATGGTGCCTGAAGAAAATCAGTTTAGAGCGAGAACGGATTCAGGGACTGAATTTCAAATACCTTGCTCTCGTAGAGGGCCCAAACGTACTTCTCTGCCCTGATCTTCGCAACTGGATAGGAAGCGAAGATCGAGACATTGTCGCCCTCCCTCTCTACAATCTCGGGATGGACGACATTCCAACTATCGTCATTGTAAACGTGCGGGGGCTGAGCGCCGGGCTTAATGCAGGCTGCTGCAGATGAGGTAAAGACAAAAATCTCTAGTTGATCGCCAGCATACTTCAAAGCCGAGTTGAGTAAGTTTCGTGTTCCAGCAATTGTAGGTTCGATCAACTGCGTCGATGCCTTTGTGATTCCGGGGCCGATAACTGGTGCCGCCATGTGAATAATCGCAGAAACCCCTATTTTTGATTAGTTACATCATTTGCCGAGATTTCAATTAACCATAGGGATTATGTTACCTTTGACAGCTTCGTCGAACGCCTCCACCTCACTTATATCCGGCACAACAGCGATTTCGATTTGTGATTCAAATCTTTTCCATGGGCCTTCTAGTAAAGCTGTCACTCTCTCGCGGGAGCGACATGTGCCACGGAGAATGTGGCCTGCTTGCAACACAGCCGTGCCAGTATTTGAAGCCAGATATCCGTTGATACCCGTGATCAAGATGACTTTGCGACGAAGGATGGACATGGTTTAGGAGACAGCAGGCGACTGTGAAATAACTCAATATGAAAGGAAAATTTGATCAAAAACATGAACCGAATGGATGGGGATGGGCCCTTAATAAATAGATCCATTGAATGCATCCTTTCATGTAAGCATTGAATTACGCTAATGACAGAGAGAGAGAGAAAGAGAGAAGAGGATTAGGAAACAGATGTCATACCTGATGCAGTAAGGTCGGAACAAGTTCTTATTGTACTATAAAATGACAATAACATTCCCGCTAATACTACTTATGCTAAAGGATTGATAAACCACCTCTTGCAGCCTTGTTGGAATTGAAACCCAACCTTCCGATCCTGGGCAAGCTTCAATAGCACCTCATTCATGTACGGCTCCAGAGCTAACTTGCTCACATCCTCCGTCACACTACCATAGACTGCAGTGACAATCTCCCTGATAGTAACGCTGCCTTTGCCCCCTTTCTTTCCTTGGTCTTGGCTTTCTCTGCTTCTTTTCAGTGCTAGCAGTATCTGTCTCTCTCGTCGGATTTGTTGTGCTTTGTACTGGGTCATTGTAACTGGGAGATTTCTGATGACATCTCCATGAGCAGGATAACCAATTTGACAGTGCTGATCCTCCATAGTATCAAGTGATGTTGTATAGAGCCCCAAATCTTCAACAACGGTATAGCCATGGCCCAAGACATTGTCGCCCGTGAAAAGAGCACATTCCTCTTCGAGAACAAAGCACATATGATCATTGGCATGACCAGGCGTGAACACCGACCTTACCGTGGCCCCTTCTACTTTGAACACTTGTCCGTCCTCAATAGGTAATTGGCCAACATCCGGCTTGTTCTTGTAAATGGCAGATGAGAGCCCCGGGTAACGTTTGACAAGGTCGGGTACACCACCTGTGTGGTCCCAGTGCCAATGTGTGAGAAGCACATGGGAGATTGTGAAGCCGCCTTTTTCTAGAACAGATGAAATGAAATCAATCCATTCTGCTTCACCTTGGGCGGTATCGATCAGGATCTTTTCCTTTCCACTCCCGATGAGATATGTGTTCGTTCCCTGTAATTGGAACTTAAACCAGGCCCGTGAATGTCAGTATGCTGCAACGACTAGATTGAATGTGGGCGAAAAATCAAGAGAACGTTGTCTCTTACCTTTCCGGGGTTGGCTCCCAGGACTCTAGTGACTATCGGGGTTATTTCGTCAACATCTGGTAAGATGGGTAAATGTGCTTTCTGGCTCGCAAGATAGTCATGAAAGATGCTTTCGTTGAAACTGGCCAACGACATTGCGGTCAACTGAGTTGGACTTCCTGAGACTCGAGTTGAAGACAATGGACGAAGGTCTTTCAATTAAACTACTTGTGATTTAAATTTAGCCCTACTTCGTGCTCAGCACGGAGTATCCATGCTTACGGCTTACTGGGGGCGGGATTCTTACTCAAAATAGATTAATAAAGAGTTGTGAGAGTGGTTCAGCCATCGAGACTATTCCTCATACAGTAAGATACCCAGGAGGCGTCAAAGTAGAATCTCGTCAGCTTTCTGATAGCAATATGTACTATGAACTTTGCGTTTAGCGTAGCGAACAACGGACTTCATACCATAAAACACACGGAAAGGAAGCTGAATATACCTTTCTTTCGTTCTAAATAAAGTCAGTGCAAGACAGCCCTCGGCGAGAACCAACTCTATTCTCAATCTCATTCTTTGAGTCCCAAATTATTCCTCTGCTGTTTTTACCTGCATTTGTCACTTTAAATCGTGTGTTCCCAGATTTCAAGATTCTTCTTTCTTTGGGCGAAGAACCATCACAATCTTCATCATGGATCAAAAGATCGCAGGGGTACAAACCTCACCCATGGCCCAACGCGGTGCCGCCTGCTACGAATCGTGGATCATGTATGTCTATGATCTCTTTGTCTTGGGTTTTCTCAACAGGTTCGCCTGGCGTTGCCCAACAGATAAGCACCTCTTGCCGCTTTTCAAAAACAACATTCGCACCACTCACCTCGACATCGGTGTCGGCACTGGTTACTATCTCAAAAATTCTAACATTGCCCCGTCGGTCCAACTCACGCTTTCCGACCTGAGTCCAAATGCCATCCGTGTCGCCAAACTTCGGTCCGGCCGCCCTGATGCTGGAGAGATGCTTTGGGATGTGACCCAGCCCTTTCCAGTACCGGAGGGGAAATATGATAAGTTTGATTCTGTCTCAATGTTCTACGTCCTTCATTGTGTTCCTGGGCCTGGAAAACGCAAGGTTGTTGTTTTCGAGAATGTTAAGAATTGTATGACCGCCGATGGTGTTTTGACTGGCGCCACGGTCTTGGGAAAGGGCGTTCAAGACAATTTCGTTGGGAGACGTGTCCGGGCTCATTGTATTGAGGACGGAGTATTCGACAATGCTGATGATGATGCGGAGACCTTTATCGCCGCCCTGCGTGAGAATTTCAACGAAGTCGAAGTGGAGGTTATCGGGGTGTCCCTTGTTTTTCGGGCTGTTGGGCCCAAATTCCTGTGAATAGTTGTTTTTCCTTTTGAGAAGTGGAAATTAGTAAAGAAATGAAGAACGATATTGGACAATTGACTTGTTGAAAAGCCGAGAAAAAATTTCTAATTTATATGAAATGTATCGAGAGTAACAAATGCCACCGAAGGTCGTTCTAAATCTCCGAGGAATCAATATTTTCCGCTTGAAATGCGGTTTGATGTTGGAATCATGATCACATCCGCGGAGACCAAAAGGTATACTTACAGTCACAACAGTCCCTTGGGTGCGAGGAGGACATGTTCATCATATATTTCATTCATCTCTTAAAAGTATCTTCCAGCTTCCTCATACTAACATATCAGAAAGCCGAGCTTCACTCACTTTGGCCTTCCTCCAATGGAGCAGTCTTTTCCGTCCGAAGGCCTTGTGTGGCAACCAGAGCCTGATTCAGGTCATAAGCTTCAGTGAAGAAACTGAGCAGGAGTCCAACAGCCGAAACGCCACAGCAGACTGCCCAGACAATTCTCAAACTATCGGTATATGCTTCCTGCAGGTGTAGTTTGTGGACATCATTGGGCATTCCCTTGATGATCTGCACAAGCCCCGCCGAATCAGAGCTGTATTCGCTGGCCAGAGAAGTGAACTCTGGGTACTTCAACAAGTTTTCATACATGCGATTTTGAAAGATTGCACCACCAATAGCAACACCAAGGGCCTGGCCAAGAGCGCGGAAGAAGCTAAACATTGCCACCGCAGTGGCTAGGTTCTCGTTTGTAGAAGATGCTTGGATTGCGAATCCCAACGATGGGAACAAGAATCCTAGGCCGAGTCCCGCCACCAAGTTGAGGAAAACCCATCCAGGCACGCTGGTGTTGACTTTTATCAAGCAAATGAGTCCACAGCCAATTGTGGAGAAGGCCCAGCCTAGCCAGATTGCCCATCGATATCTTCCGGTTTTTGAAGATATAATCCCGACCGCCATAGCACTAGGTGCGACAGTAAATGTCTCAGGGAAAAGAGCAACACCGGACAGAATTGGACTGTAGCCCTTGACAGCCTCGTAGTAAAGAGGTAGGTAGTACAAGGTGCACCAGAGAACGAGACCTTGTAGGGTGCTCCCAATAAAAGACACAGTCGCAGTTCTATTGTTGAAGATGGAAGGCGGAATGACAGGGTCAACAGCATAGTGATGCTCATAGTAACCAAAGAAGCAAAGCCCCAAGAAACCAAGGATGAAGGGAACGAGTGTATGCCACGACCCCCATGGATACGAGACACCGCCCCATGTGAGAGGAATTAGGAATGAGGTCATACTGGCAACGAAAAGCACTGTGCCAATATAATCGATCCGCCGGAGCTTTTCGATCAACGAGGAAGGGATCATGTTGAGCTTAAGAAAGACCATTATCATGATAACCCCGACGCCAATGAACGGGAAATTGATGTAGAAGATCCAGCGCTAAAGTTGATCATGTTAGTAAACGTTAGATCTTTAAAGAGATATGATTTTACTAACCCAAGTGACATTTTGTGAGAATGCGCCACCCAAAATGGGGCCAGAGACAGAGCCAATAGCCCACATACCGCTGAAGACACCAAAATACTGGCCGCGGTGCCTCAGGGGTACGATATCAGTCATAATGACTTCTGTCAGGGCAATAATACCTCCGCCACCGACACCTTGGATGGAACGCCCCACAAGCAGATGTGTAAAGTCCTTGGACACCCCTGAGATGATAGCTCCCGCCAGAAAGAGAGCGATAGCAACCATAATTACGGATCGACGTCCAAAGATGTTTGAAAATGATGCAAAACTCGGTTGGAAGACTAATCTTACAGTCAGTTGAAGAACACCAGAGGGAAAAGCAAAATATAGATACCTGTTGAAGATAGGAGGAACGACGTCCCACTCCAAAATGCTTCAATTGCGGTCCCGTTGAGCTCCTTAGAGATAATCTGCATCGCGTTAGAGGCCCATTTCCCAGGTTATGTTGATCATTTCTAGCATACCGGTAAAGCAACGGATATCGATGTACCATCAAGAGCCGCCATCAAGGTCAGGACGGCCAAAATCACAAAGATCATAGTACCGCGCATGCCCAGCCTAAAGTCCTGGTCGGAGTCTTGGACAGATATTGTCGACGAAGATGTGCTGGCCGTTTCATTTGACGCATCGATGGCATTATCGGGGACAACCAGCGCCGTGTCGTTGGAAGTTCCGTTTGCCATGGTGTCAACTCGCAGAGCTCTCAGCTGTAGAAGCTTTGTCTCGCCCTTTCCTCTCTCACGTTAACGTGCACCACTTCTCAAGCCTTGTTGCTCCAGGTGCGTATTCGATCTTTGTCGCCCTTGATACAAGGAGAGCGAGAGGAGGAGCTACTATTCCCAGGAAAAATTGGTTATTGCCTGGCAACTTGTATCAAACAGAACCAGAATAAGGAAATAGTGAGGAATATTTCCTATAGAACTTTTCAAGAAATTAGTTCTTTCCCTCGGTTAAGCTTGCAGGTGCTTTCAATGGGTTTCACCAGGCGTGTGAAATGTCCGTAGAAATGCCCGATGCGCACAATACGATGTATGACATATTCTGTAATTACGAGGTAAAATTGTCGAGGCAACCTGCACGTAGTATGGGGCCAATTTACCAGGGAAAAAAAAAGAAAAAGAAGCATCCTTGCAAGAGGGGAACTAGTGCTGACGATACTCCACATTTAGGTGCTTCGTTCTAAGAACGCCGTCCTCGCACGTCGTGCCAGGGATTTTGTCTAAATCAGATGATTCTTTGAGAATACCTCTGGGAGGGAGAGTAGAAAAGACTGAACAATGAAGCAGTTTTGATTTTAGTTTCACACACACTTTTCAAACATATCTTCCACATTGCTTTTTCTATCACATAAAATGTCGATTCCCGAAGAAACTAGCGTTCTCGTGGTGGGCGGTGGCCCTGCAGGCTCATATGCAGCAGCTGTGCTGGCGCGTGAGGGTATCAGCACTGTGCTTCTGGAGGCCGATCTCTTCCCCAGGTACGTTTCCAGGGTTGTTTGAAATACTATAGTAATCAGCCTAACCAAAAGTAGATATCACATCGGCGAGAGTATGCTTCCGTCCATGCGTCACTTCCTTCGTTTTATCGACCTTGATGAAACCTTTGATAAACATGGATTTGTGCAAAAGGTTGAGTCCCCCCACCCCATGGGAACCATCCATGGAGGTATATAGAAAGGGTTGGTGACTAACACACGGGCAATGCAAAATAGAAAGGTGCTGCTTTCAAGCTCAACGCGTTTCCCGAGGCCTGTAAGTACTCCGCCGATCATTCCTACAGTTTCAAAACACTGACGCCTTCAACTAGACACGGATTTCGTGGCTGCCGGTGGTCCTGATGCCTATGCCTGGAATGTTGATCGTGCCGAAGCCGATAACCTGATGTTTCAGCATGCCCGCAAGAGTGGCGCCAAGGCTTTTGACGGTGTCAAGGTTAACTCGATTGAATTCGTACCTTTGAATGAGCAAAACGGCCAAACCGATTCTGAGCTCCCCAACCCCGGACGGCCTGTTTCTGCTGACTGGTCCCGTAAAGATGGCACCTCCGGTACTCTTAAGTTCAAATACATTATTGATGCCAGTGGCCGTGCTGGGTTGGTGAGCACCAAATACTACAAGAACCGCAAATACAACCAGGGCTTGAAGAACATTGCGAGCTGGGGCTACTGGGAAAACGCCAAGACCCATGCTCCTGGTACCCAGAGAGAAGGCCAGCCTTTCTTCGAGGCCTTGCAAGGTACACATCACCTTTCCATCATTCGGTGGTCTGCTGTTTTTCCAAGTTGCTAATACTATTGGTTTGGAATTTTTAGATGCCAGTGGTTGGGTTTGGACCATTCCTTTGCACAACAACAAGACTTCCGTGGGCGTTGTTATGAACCAGGCTACCGCCACCACCAAAAAGAAGGCTATGGATGATTCATCTACCAAGGGCTTCTACCTCGACACCCTGAAATCCACTCCCGAGACATGGGATCTCATTGCCGATGCTGAGCTAGTTTCTGATATCAAGTCAGCTTCTGATTGGTCTTACAGCGCCTCGACTTATGCCACCCCATACATTCGTATTGCGGGCGATGCCGGATGCTTTATTGACCCCTACTTCTCCTCCGGTGTCCACTTGGCGCTGGCCTCTGGCCTTTCGGCCGCCACAACCATCTGTGCTGCCATGAAGGGCCAAATTGAGGAGTCTGCCGCTGCCAATTGGCACTCCAGCAAGGTCGGAACTGGATACACTCGTTTCCTAGTCGTGGTTATGAGTGCTCTGAAGCAGATCACGGTACCAGAAGAGCCTGTTATCGGTGACTGGGATGAGAAGAGCTTCGACCGTGCCTTCTCCATGTTCAAGCCTAGTATGTTCTTTTCTGTCGGTCTTGTTGTGAAAATGCGACTAATATTTTCGTCTTTCAGTCATCCAGGGTACCGCGGATGTGAAGAACAACCTCACTCCAGCCGAGATCTCCCAAACGATTGACTTCTGCATGAAGGCATTCCACCCAGCACCCAAGGAGCAGCGTGAGAATATTTCCGATAAGCTAGCCAACGGCGCTGCCGCCGGTAGTAGTTCCGCAAACCCTGCTCTATCGGAGCAAACCCTTTCCGCCGAAGAGCAGCGGATCTTAACAACCATGAGGGCCAGAAATGCCATCCGAACTGAGGACCTAATTCACATTGATAACTTCAGTGTCGATGTAGTTGATGGAATGGTCCCCCACTTGAAGCGTGGAGAGTTGGGCCTGGTTGATGCTGCAGTGGCAAAGGTCAAGACCCCTACGGCTGATACTAAGCAGTCGGTCTCGATCTTCTCTTACTAGAAAAATAGTTACTTTCACTCGAGATGAAGCATAATCCACGATATATTACCTCTTTTTACCTGTTTTTCATCTTTCTGGATTGCCTATCAGTTTTCTTCGATCAATATTAGCAATATTTAATCACAAACTGTCTTGAATCACGAAAGTCCAGTAGAAGTGTGAATTGTTGACGATATATTTTATATGTTTGCTTCTTTCCTGAATCAATAGTATTTGACCTTATTAGACCTAGAGTGTAGTACATAAGAGCCCCTGAACCAGGGTTCTACTACCAAAGAACACCCAAGGACTTGTTCACCCAAAAGACCGTTTGTTTTCTAAACGAATACTGATAGTTATTCAAAAACAAGCGGCTACATAACGACAAATTCTTTGTCTGGGTGAATAGTGTTTAGAGACATGATCTTTACCACGCCCATTGTGCTAATTAGCATCAATTTTGGCTCACTTGTCTGTTTGACAAGAAGGAATTTATTGCAAATGCACATGTAATGTTAAAATATACTAGTTTGTGGACTTGATTGGAATCGACGCTTCCATGGATGTCCATTCTCCCACCGAAACCAGCACCGGGGCCGCAATCTAGCAAGGCCCGCCGGGTCCACTATCGGCCTTAGCGGGCTTTGGAGACTTCATTGAGGGCCGAGGCTCTCTGGGCCCAAAAGCCGATGCAGTATTCACGTATTACTGGCGTATCATTAGCGTTAAACTTAGGTCTTACAAGGCACAAATTTATTCTTATTTAGCGGCTAGGATATCCACAGGTATAAGCTCCGTGCTAAGCACGGAGTCAATAGTGACCGGCTTGAAACTGTCTAATTGACATAACCCAGGAGTACAGATAGTAGTTTGGCAGACGAAAATATACATAACTACGTGAAATAAACGTAATCGCGTAGGAAGAGCTACACGAGAAAAACATTTGAACATGTCTACATCCGATAAGATCATCCTGTTGACCGGTGCTACGGGATTTATCGGCTTCCAAACGCTCCTAGATGCCCTCGAGGCTGGATTCCGAGTGCGATGTGCAGTCCGCAGTGAAGCCAAAGGGGAGGCTCTCCTGTTAAAGCCAGCGTTACAATCGTTCCTGCAAGCCCCCGACAACCAATCACGACCCGTGGACATTGTTGTCGTGTCAGACCAGGCTGCTCCAGGCGCCTTCCAAGAAGCTATAGTGGGAACAAGCTACGTGATCCATATTGCATCTCCACTCCCATCTACTCAGCCAAACGGCCACCTCGATGCCGAGGCCAACTTCCTAGCCCCCGCTAGACGGGCGACTCTCGAAATCCTTCAAGCCGCCGCGACAACTACCTCTATCGAGCGCGTCGTTATTACTAGTTCGGTCGCGGCATTTGTGTCACCAAAGATCTTCGTGGGAATGGAACGCCAAGACCCACAGCATCCCTTCACTCCCACCAGCCGGATGCCACTAATGACGCCACCTTTCCCGCACGCGGGTGTGGCTTACGTTGCCTCTAAGGTGGCATCTCTTGAAGCGACCGAGACCTGGGTGAAGGAAACAAAGCCTAGGTTTAGTGTCGTTAATATTCACCCATCCTGGGCTCTAGGTCGGGCCGAATGTGCCGATGATATGGGGTCCCTGTTTAAGACGACCAACTGGCTAGTTCTTGACGCCATTGTCAAGGGCAATAAGTCACCTTATCCCAACATGATGCGTGCTATCGTTGATGTTCATGATATTGCTCGTATGCAGATCCAGTCATTACAGAAAGCAGACATCGTGGAGCCCGGGCGTTGTCGGAGTTTCATTGCAAGTACACCTGCCACTTACGAGGATATTCCGGGCATTATCCACAAAAACTTTGCGGAGGATATTCAAAATGGTCGCGTTACTGTTTTGGGCGAGCAGACATCGTTCCCGCTTCCTATTGATTCATCATGCACCGAGGTCACTTTTGGGTGGAAATTTAAAGGCCTCGAAGAAATCATCAACGAGCTGATCTCGCAGTACATTGAGCTTCAATAGCGAGCTGGGGGGCCTTAGACCAAAGGACCATGTAGTTTGCTAGTCTTCTCCTTTCTCTCTCCTACGTCCTCTTTGTCCATAAAATGGTACACAGTTCTTTCTCCATAGAGATCTCCTTTGTGTAGTGATAGAGTAAGAATATCACTGTATTGCCTTTGGCCCCCAATATATATATGTTGTATATGTAGGGAATAACACAGCCATCCAACCCCTCGGATGAAACAAATACCCCAGCCTAATTTTTGTATTGGGGCTGAGCGGAGTCCTACATTGCAGTATCCAAACTGCCTAGCAAACAACCTGGTTCAATTAGGGTTGCATACCCTGCATTGGTCTGGATATGCAGGCCACCATCGAACAACAGAGATAATCTCCATTAAGCCCCGTGATCCAATCTGCCCCGGGTTTACCTGTATCTCGAATCAAGATTGTCACATAGTCTAATAGAACATCTTATAGTATCCTTTCTGTCATATACTTCACCATTCCATCCCTCGCCTATTTTAGACAACTTTTCCGATAGATAAAGACGGGAGGGCGTCCTGGTCTAATTAGGGCCACGGAGTATCAACACCCTCTTAACAAATTACGTATTTATATAACTTTTCTTTTTCCAATTTTTGTATAAGCGAGATTTGGAACCTGCCAAGTTTAGAGGGTGTCCGACCGCACCCGCTCTTTCGGCCCCAAACGTCGTACGATGTACAAGATCAGTGCACATCTTGAGGAACGACTAACTAGGAACAACGGTGATGACAATAAAAAGTACCCCGGATCTTCATTGGTCGGGCCTAGACTATACTAAGTCGTATGCGAACAAAATCATGAAAACGTGATCCCCGAACGGGAGAAAATGTAAATGCTTTTTTCATCTATATATTCAACTACCAATCAACGAAAGTTGAATATGTATACCCTATTATAGAATACTGGTTTGGTAGATAAGGACATAGGGAGAAACGAAAAAGAAAATCGTAAATTCATATGCCTGAGTGATCACATATATTGCCACTCGGGGTTGTGTGTTGGCATTGGCGCATGCAGGTCAGCTTCAAAGAACGCCGAATCGATGTCCGATCCATGAGACACCGAGCCATCTCGGGAAAGAGAGAGCGGTGTCATTCTGTCAAGGCTCAAACCCATTAAATTGTTAAATTGAGGCTCCCTGTTTGTACATATCAGCCTCGGCACCAACTTTATAGAACCAAGAACATAGGAAAAAACACTTACATGCCTGCTGGGGGTCCGCGAAGTCTTAGGAATTCAATATAGTCAAAGACCTTATAGCCTTTGGCCCCTAGGGCCTCCCATTGCGGTGTCTTCTCGGCAACAATTTGTGCAAAGCTCATTTGGAAGTTTTCACGGATGATAGGGAAGTGGGCAACCTTTAGCATATTGTCAAGGCTGCAAACATTGCCGAGTAGGAAAAGAGCGAATGATCTGACTGCTTTGCTGCATCCTTCCAAGGTTCCAAAGACTATTTTAGCGGCTTTTCGACCATCGCTAGCCCAATCCTTTGCTTTCCCTGAGTGCTTGAGAAGGTCTGACATTTGTCGGTTTACCTGAGGGCAAATATTTAGTACTAGTGTCCAAAAGTAAAAGCAGACGCGGAACCTTACCTTCTTTGCGGCAAGGACCGGAGAAAGATGCTCCTCTCTGATAACCCTTTCCTCTTCTCTTTTAAAAATCTCCCAGCTAAGCATGCCGTATATGAATCCCAATGTGTTAGAGACATTACCAAGCTGGCTGAGGGCCCCTGCAAATTGCACGCTAGACATTCCATGTAGGGATATAGGAAGACAGGAGCCATTGTACAGGCCGTCGACTTGCCCATTGTGCTCCGACATTGTTGGAATGGGGTGATTGCAGATAGCAGTCAAGAAGTTTTGTAATTTCGTCATTCGCTTGGAGCTCCAGTCAGGAGCCTTCTGCGCCATTGGTCCATGAGAACAACAGCGCTCCACTTCCCCAGGAATTTGCTGTGCATGGATGGATCCGGAGTTGCACAGGATCGAGCTTGCCGGGGGTGTAGTCATCTGAGATGCTCCCATCGTGGATAACCACTGGGTGTTGTCTTGGTGCGTCTGCATATCAAGATGGGGCCATTGTTGGTATGGTGGTGCTTCGAGAGTGCCGAAAGAGTCATCAACCAGAGTAGCTGCAACATCTGGGGCCAAACAAGGTGATACACTCGCAGTTGCCGGGGCAGTTGGCTGATGGTTGAAGATATTGAATTCAAAATTTAGATCTTTCGGACGACCGAGAGTTGCCTCCATCTCTAACATGGTATCAATCCACTTTTGAGGATAAATACCGCGAGGGAATGTCTTCTGACTAGCTATCCTTCCATCTTCAAATGTTGCCGAGAATATCGTCCCCGTAGGCTGCAGTGTGAAGTAAACTCCTTGGGAGATTGGTGACGCCATGTGTACTTTATCCACTGTTCGCTCTTCTGATGATTTTTCACGCGAATCTTGCTTTCCAATGTAAAAGTTTGGCTTTTTGAATAGAATCAAATGAAGATACAGTATTTATAACTGTGTTTGAATAGCGAAGACCACGTGTCCCGGCGGAATGGAAGGAAAAATCAAATTGGGGGCTCTCAGCACTAGAATTCAAGGCCTGTATACAAATCTATTACTGCAATGATTAACACTACGCTAAACACCTTGGCTTTCGAAGGTGTCCCTCACAGCCCACAATTATAGAGTAAATAGATTAAATCGCATGATTCATATCGAACACAATGCCATAGCGTCAAAGTCATGGAGGCTTGAACATTCAGAGTGGAGTCATCACAGATGGTCCCCAGCCTGTGCCGGAACCCGACCTGGCCAACCAGATATCCCCAATGGGAAATTTGGGGTCGAGTTCTGAGTGATGGGATTGATTTGGAAGAATTAAAAGAAATTACAGGTATGAGAGATAGTGAGGGGTCAATGTGCACTGCTGACGTTGCTAAAGCCTTAGTGCTTACCTATGTTTCATACGGGTTTCTGGAATCAAGGGTTTCCTTGTTAGGTGTACCTAGCCAGATTAAGACAAAAAATGGACTCATCTGCGGCCCACTTTTCGATTTTATGGGCGGGTCGAGGCGACGGCCCCCACGGTCCACGCCTAAATCTGGAAGATCGCGGGACGGCCCTGGCCCCGGGCCCCCGGGTATATTGATTAGGGGAAGTTGTAGCGCCCTGAAAGACTTCAAAGCAAATTGGATTCTGGGTTTAGCGGGTTTTGTGATTTACCGATCGTATTGAGATTGGTAGGTTCAACTCGGGATTCAGCTTGGGGCGAAATCCAACCTCTCTGTACAATGTTCTTTTCAAGCCTTTTATGGGCTCATATTGGAAATGTGATAGGTATCTCTTTTAGAGTTCAAAAAAGGCTTGTCTACCTTGACTTGCAATGTAGAAACTTCCATGTGATGCAAGTGAAGTATTATTCCATTGTGTTAGAAAAGAGAGATCCAAGCAGAGAATTCGGAGGGGAGAGAGTTGATTTGATCCCTACAGCAGATCACGCTACTTAGGGGTAGATACCTGAGGCACCACAAAGAGATCGCCCTCACAATACCTGCACATCTACCATGTAGCCCCTTAAACCGTCGAAGAACTGATCTGCTCATTGCACTTCTGGGAGAGAACTGCCTGTATGTGCAGCTGCAAGGGGAAAAGCAAATTTATAAAAAACTACTTCTACCTTCGCATTCGATTTCCCCATTGACTGTCCTCACAGGCTGATGGCAAATATGATATATTGTGCCTATTTCCCGTCACCCCAGAAAATGACATCGAAAGTGGAAGAAGTCATACGTTAATTACTTTATATGCGATACGGCTAATACATGTATTCCATGTAACTTTTTCCGACTTGATACAGTTGCAAAGATATACACAGGTGCCAGGGTTTGAAAACAACCTTATCCGCAACATCAGATCGGGGCAAGCTAGCATTTAGTTGCTTTTTTTTTAATGCTAGTATATGTTACCTTGGGGCAAGCAATGAAAAAAGGACCCGGGTAGATATTCGACCTTGTATCACCTACTTCAAGCTGCAGTCCAATCGCACTCGACCGCTCTGCAAGCCGGCGCTCAATCCACCCAGCATCTCGCGACAGATACTGCACTCGGCGTAGCCCAGGAGCGCTAGGACCGCGAGACCTCGGTTTGAAAGAGACATCTGCAACATTTGTAAGGCCTAGAACGCGGCCGCCGAGATCGCCAACTGGGCCATCACGTCTCACCAGACCACTAGCGAGCACCCCCAAGCGTTGAATGATGCTTTCGAGGAACTCGTGGCATCCTGGGATTTGGTGACAGGACCGAAAATACATCGTATAAAGGAACAAAATCAAGGTCGTGGAAGGACTATCACAAGGATTAGCCTTCCATGCAGGAAGAGATTCTATTTCAAAGGTCTGGGTTATTTATATCAGCACCTATGATAATCGGACCTAGACTGTTAAAAATAAACAAAGAAGCAATAGCTATGAGATACTCAAAGCTCTCCTGGTCTGTAACTTCGCCAAGTCTTGAAACCAACCTGCTCATACCACCCGTCGAGTGCAACCCAGTCTACAAAGACGCCTTCAAGACCTCGTTGCTTCATGTTTTCAATAGCGTGGCAGATCAATGCCAAGCCAATTCCATACTTGCGGTGGGACTCATCAATTCCCACGGCACCGATCAGCCCTGTGTTCGGACCACAGGTTTGGGGGAATGCCCAAGACTTGTTCAGCGTATCTGATGGACCGAGCATCAACGTCCAGCCGACCTGCTGGCCTTGGGAGTCGAATGCTGTCATCACACTGTCAGGATACTTGTCGGGGTGTAATGCGACGTATGCCTCCACCCAGCTCTTTATAACATAATTAGTACGTATTCCAACAAAGCATAAGGGCGGGAAAAACACGGTCTTCTTACCGTGTTCTTGGAGAAGTTTCTCCTTTGGCCAACCAGACAGGCCTCATAATCTTCGGCCTTTAGTGGTGCGAAGCGGAAGCCTCGCTCGCGGGCACGAGTCATATATTTCTCTGGCGACTGGAAGTTCCGAATATCTTGGTACAAGTCAACTGACCGGGCACTGGGTGGGCTGAGTCGGAAACCGCGGTGAGTGAAGAAATGCTGCACTGTTTCTGGAAGGTCCTGGGGAATACCGGGCCAAAAGCGGGGGAACGAGCTGCCCAGCTTCACATTATTGAAGCCAAATGTTGCTCGGAAATATGCTCTCGTTTCTTCTAGCAGGATAGTTCCAACGCCTTGGTGTTGATACTTCGGTGACACAGCGAGAACTGCGATATAAACGGTGTCTGGTGTACCATGGGCATTTGTGTAAGCAAGACAGAAGCCTACTAGCTGGGATTCAATGCGCGCGATGAAATGGTGACCATGCGGCTGCACTATCAGAGTCCGCAAGCTTTCAGTTGGAATGGGGTAGGTCGCGAGAGCAGCGGCCCAGACTTCGATCACCTCATCTAGATCTCTTTCTGCGTCAAATGGTGTTACTATCGCGGAGGTCTTGGTCACAGCATTCGTTCCCACGGGAAGAGCGCCTGTCGGGACCAGTCCGCCAAACACGATATCGGCAGCCACAGAAAATGCCTCGATAGTCGGCTCGTATGTGGTAATATAAGTCTTGACACTAGGAGCATCAAGGAAGTCATAGGGGTTGCAAGCAGCAATATGCACCAATGATTTAACACGCTGAGCAAGTTCTAGGCCTAGCGACTCTTGGTATTGTGACTCTTTTGCATTGAGTGAAGTGAAAATCACTGCATCGGCAACTTCAAGGGCTTGCCATTGCTCAAAAGACAGATTGTTCGTTCCGTATCTGATCTCAGCAATGGAATTGTTGTGTTGCCGCAGCACATCAAGATATTTGTTGGACTGGTATACCCCTGGTGCCTCTGTCCCTTCACCGTCAACAGCACCGCCGACCGGGGTCTTGTCCCCGGGGAAGAGGAATATGATAATTGAATTCTTTGACAGGGGGAGAACACCATTATCGTCACGGACGAGTGTGGTTGACCGAGAATATATATCCATGGTTGTCTCGGCAATTCTGTCGTTGAGCGAGCTTAGGTCTGCGAGACTGGATTTCCGAAGAGCGGCATCCCAGTCCAAAAACTTGTTCTTCACCGTAGCAACATGACGACAAGCGTCTGCCAGTCGTGATTGGTCGATTGTGCCGGACGTTATTGCCTCACAAACCCTCTTGATTGAAGCCACCTGCACTTCAAAGGTATGGCAGATCATGATGCTATCGCTACCAGCACGCAACGCTAGCACCGAGCCTTCCTCTGTACCGTATGTGGCGCGGATTCCGTCCATCTCCAGACAGTCCGTGATGATCATACCATCATAGGCCATGTCTTTGCGCAAAATTCCCATAACAACCGGGGAAAGCGTTGCAGGCCGTATGAGATCGATACAGGGTAGAGAGATATGAGCAGTCATGACAGTCTCGATGCCTTCTGCGACAGCCCGCCTAAACGGAATCAACTCGCAACGCTCTAGCTGATCCCTTGTTTTAGGAATGACCGGTAGTCCAAAATGCGAGTCAACGGCTGTGTCTCCATGACCTGGAAAATGCTTTACACTAGGAACGATGTTTTGCTCCCGTAGACCCCGGGCAGTCGCACTCGCAAACCGGCCCACAAATTCAGGGTCATCGCCCGGGCTGCGTACACCAATAACAGGGTTCAAAGGCTCCGAGTTAATATCGCACACTGGTGCATAGTTCATATTAATCCCAAAGAATTTCAGGGTTTCCCCTGTGGCTTTCCCCGCACTATATGCATACTCCGGATCATGCGTGGCGCCCAGTGCCATGGGCCCTGGCACCTGAGCAGCGATCGGAGGAGAAATGCGAGTGACTAATCCATTCTCTTGATCGATTCCAATCAACAGCGGTCGCTCGTGTCCAGCTAATTTGGCTTCATTCTGTAAAGCCAGCGTCAAGGCCTAGAAAATATTAGTCAAACCAATCAAAGACGATATAGCCTCGGGTATCGCACCTGAAGCTGCTCTGCATTCTCAAAATTACGTGAGAAGAGAACGATGCCTCCCACGTGGTAGTCATGAATCAAAGTCTTGATTTCGGGACTTGGGGAGCACCCATGAAACCCCACTGCGAAGAGCTGCGATCGTCAGTGGAGATTCACAAAGGATTCCAGGGCTCATGTACCTGACCAACCTGCTTCTGGAGGTCTGAGGAAGCCATGAGTTTGACTTCTAGTGGCTTTTAGAGTGGTTTCATGTATTGCAAGTAAATGGCTCAGAACGGGTGACGTTGCAAGGGGATCGGAGTTGATCTGCCCGGGTCCACTTATAGATTTGGATATTTCAGCTTAACCTCTTAGGATCTAGCGAGTAGGTAATACTAATATGAGATAAAAGAAATACGGCCGGAACATATTTAATTACCGGTTAATGTCTAGCAATCGATGCCTTCCCACGTCTATTTTAGTGCTCACCTCTTGCCGCTTTTAAGGTTTGATAACATATGATCATGTAAACATCACCTGATCATAAACTGAGCCCCCTGATTTGCTCACTGACAAAATCACGTATCCTTTCAAGAACTCCCTCGATATTTTCTAGTAACGAAAAGTGATTACATCGCCAGCATGGATATTGGATTGACCCCTTGTGTTCATCTTGCCAAGCGGGATTTCCACAGGAGTCTTATAATGACTGTAGCCAGTTTATTGAATGGTCCTCGTCTCAAGGCACTCGAGGCCGAAGCTCCACAACGCGGGGTATACGCCAAAAGTCATCGGCGATATCGGCTAGTTTCCCGGACCGTTTGCCTTAGTTGAAAGCAAAAATGATTAACCCAATGCTTTAGAATACTATCACCATAGTTTAGAGGCACACTCTGCGCCCATGGCTACGGGGAACTCGGGATATTGTGTAAATTGTGTAAATTAGTCAATTAGATATTAAGGCAGAAATCACAAAGCAAAACGTGAGGGCCGTTATGCAGCCTCCAATCGGTTTGGGTATCTTGGTAATGGCTTCGCCGCACGCAAGTTGGATGAGCTGTATGCCAATTGATCTTTGTCTAAATACCAAGTGGTGTAATGATTAGTTACGATATTCAGCTGTTCCCCTAGTTCCCAGTAAGTCGGCACGTGACTCCATGCCGTGCTGACATCTACTCAGTGGGCGCCTGCGTCCTAGGGCACCACAAAAGCGGAGATAGGAAAGCCCCACCCGCATATGTAGATGCAGGGACATATATTGTCCTTACACTAATATGGCTGAGATTCATGAAACTATTGCAAAGAATGACGCCAGAGTTGAGGTAACCTCGAGTTCACAGCCACACCCGACCTTGGAGGAGTATGAACGGCTCTTCGGAGTCGACGAAGACGCATATGAGCAGCCAACCACCACTAGGAGAGAACTTTGGTCATATTACCTCTATTACAATGGCGATAACGGTGTTGGCCCGGGATCATACAGCCAAGCCCTGTAAGTGCAATGAAACACTGGAGTTTTCCGACTAATCCAGTGAAGTTTCCAGTGGGCCTTGAATGGCGCCGGACATCAACCTGGCTCGAATCCACCCAAAGCATGCACCGATTCATCTGCATGTGTAGTGCCGTGGGCTGGAGGAACGAGATCGGTATCTTCGGTGGTTCTTATTGCCAACGGTCTTTGCTTCACTTTCATGACAGTAATATTCGTCTGGCTGGGAAGTGCTGCTGACTATGGAACATTTGGCCGATGGCTTCTTCTGGCATTGACAATGGTCTGCTGGGCACTGCAGTATGGTATGATGTCCATCCGGCATCCGAGCCAGTGGCCAACTGCAATGGGATTGTACGTTGTGGCATACATTGCCTACGGCGCGACGCTGGTATTTTACGCTGCTGTGTTCCCCCGTCTGGCGCGGTATACCCCGCATGTGCGCAAAGCGAGAGAGGAGGATCTCAGAGAGAGTAAAATCGACCAAGAGGAATACGATGCTATTGAATCACTGGAGAGAAATCATATCAGGTCAGTTTGGTCTTTTGAGGCTCCTATTGAAGATGTCGTTGACAATAGTAGCAACATTTCAACTGCACACAGCAATATTGGATACCTACTCACACTCGTGCTTAATATGAGTGTTCTACTTCCACTCCAAAACAACAGTTTCTCGAATAATCTAGCACTCTGTCTTACTAACTCATGTACGCTTTCTGGGAAATCCACCTCATAGTCGAACTATCTAATCATCTACAGATTGGGTCCTTCTTGGCATCTGGTGGTTTATTTTCCAGCAAAAACGGCCAGGTCCAAAGATACCAAAAGGGTCAAACTACACCACTATTGGGTTCAAGCAGATCTGGCTGGCCATTCGAGAAATCAGGTCTCTTCCACAGACATTTCTGTACTTTTTCGCCTATTTCCTTCTTGCCGATGGCCTCAACACCACTGGTAGGTTCTTTCTTTGCTTACTTGTTGCAAATCATACTCGGTACACCTATAGATATAGACAAGAGAACTCACTGACACCAAATAGGTACTCTGGTCAGCATCATCCAAAACGACTCTGTTTCATTTTCATTCTTGCAGATTACATATCTCGGCATTACCCAAGCTGCCTGCTCGATCACCTCAACATTTGGCTTTTGGTATATACAGCGGTATTTCAAATTTAAGACAAAAACCATGTTTTTGTTCACCAATTTTTTCACTGTCCTAATCCCCTTTTGGGGCATGCTGGGACTGTGGACTCATCGCATCGGGTATCATAATAGGGTATGTATCAAGTTCCAATTGAAAGCTTACAGCTAACAACCATTCAGTGGGAGTTCTACTTCTACAATGTCGTTTTCGGGCTTTTCCAGGCTCCATACTATGCGGTAGGTGTAAATTTGAATGGTCTCCAGCATGTTCTTACCCCTATAATCTCTAACATTACGCCAGTACGCCCAAACGATGATCAGCGAGCTGATGCCACGCGGCTACGATAATATGTTCTTCGCCCTTTTTGGAATAACCAATCGCGCCGTAAGTCAGCGGTTTTTGATGATATATTTTGTCCAGTTCACTAACATTTTGAACCTTGTAGTCTTCAATCATCGGCCCGAATGTTATTCAAGCTATCATAAACAATACCCACAACAGTTGGATGGGCTTCCCATTCTTGTTCGCCATCTGTGCCGCGGCAATGATCACCATATGCTTTGTAGACATCAAAAAGGGTCGTGAGGACTGTCGGAAATTCACCGAGCAGCGGAAAATAGACCGTGTCGTGGCAGAGAGTGGTCTAGATCCCAACGATATTTCAAATCAGAAGCAGCCTGTCCGTAATGAAGACATCCCTGAAGTGCAAGCCGAGCACACCAGCACTTCGGTGACGGGGTAAGCATATAATCTTGGGGGCGCTTCAGTTGTTATTCTCTACCTATCTTTTAGTTTCTGTTTTGATCACAACGCATTCTATCATTAAGCTTTCCATAGATGTCCCCAACGATGAAACTTCAAGTCTCAGCCTTCGAAGTGTCCTGCTGTATATGTTCGGTCCCCTCCTCAGCCTTACAGTGGTTTTTCTTCTCGACCTTATCCCGCCATTGATCGCCGAAAATAGTCGTGAGCCATACACAAACCCCAGACGCAACCAAAAATAGGGCGCTGATGGTACTAAACCACCCCACCCCCATAGCCTCTACCGCTGGAAGAACAAGTCCAGACCCTAGGGCACCGAACACGTACCGGAACAGATAGCTACCGGCAACGACTTCGGCACTCCGGCCGCTAGATTGCATGACATCCAAGCTGTAGGTATTGAGACTAGGGAAGCAGAACAGCTGTGCCACTCCCTGAAAGAACATTGCAAGAACGGGGACTGGGATTCCACCAACAGCCTTCTCGACCGTCCAGCCGTAGACCAAGATACAGCCGGGGATGACGACAGCCAGGAATATCAGACAAGATTTCAGTCTGTCTTCGGGGACTCGGACACCACCACGCTTGCGGATCCATTTCTTCACGGTATGATCTGCCCACCTTCCACCCATGAATGTGCCAACAAGATACCCACAGCCTGGTGCGATGTAGAACAAACTAGTCTGGATAGGGCTGGTGAGGTGGAAGCGTGGGTTGAGTACGTATCGAATGGGAGTCAAGAGGGAGTACTGGTTCCAGACGAGAGCTCCGGCAGCGAGACCCGTACAGAAGAGGTTAGGGTATTTAAATAGCATGAGAGCAACCCGGAGGGGAGAGACCCGATGCCAAAGGTATTTGGCTTTCTGCCACGTCGTCTTGTCGGTCATATCCCCTTTGGTCAGATGCGGGTAGGTTTCAGGGAAGAAGAAGAAGACGAGCAGTGTGCCGCCGCCTCCAAGAGCTGCCTGGAGCCAAAAGATCACTCGCCACGAGCGGAAGGTAACAATCACACCCTTTATTTATAGGTCAGCAGATTGTCTCGGCGCTGGATTTATAGAGCAGACGTACGCCAATGAATGGGCCAAAGGCTGGACCAATTAGGGTTCCTGACAAAAACCACCCCAATGCTGTTGCCCGTGCTCGAGGCTCGTATACATCACCCAACGCCGAGCTCCCAACGACCAAAAAGGATGTTCCTTGAAATGCGGTCAAGACACGGAAAATATAATATGCTGGGAGGTTGGGTGCTAGAGCCGTGCCGATGCTAAACACAAAGAACAAAAACGCGCTCACAACAAAGACCTGCTCCCAATTAGCTTGTTACCTCAAGGTGAACTTCTACCCTGTACCCACCGGACGTCGCCCCCAGACCTGACTAAAGGGTCCCCAGAAGGGAGCCGCAATACCCATGAATGCCATATATAGTGCATTGCTCGCGTTTATCACACTTCCTGTGGTGTTATATGTCTTTGCCACTTCAGGTATAGCAGCTAATATAGATGTGGAGGAGATAGGTGCCAGGAAAGAGCAGAACGCCAGAACACCAACGATGGTGGCTTTGCGGGCTGGTGAAAAGCGTAGATATTGCTCCGCATCGACCTCATGGAAGTCATCATTAACAGGCATATCATGGTGCGAAACATGACTCTGGACGTGGTCAAGACTATTGACAGCTTCGCCTCGTTGTGAGCGCCGAGATTGAGATCTCTGGATTTCGGTTTCATTTGTCCAGGACTGAGATTGCCTCTCCTCGCTGGAAGCTTTCGAGGTAGTTGGAGACATGGCGAGGATCCTTTAGCATGAGCTAGACCTTGCTAGCTTGTGGTAAATCAGATATGAATCCCTCGAAGTGCAGAGTGTAGATGCAAGATACGAAGAAAAAATTTTATCGCCGCAATTGTTCTTAGTTGCGGCTTCTTTCCGAGATCATGCTCGGGTATATGCGTAGATGTGCGAGAATGCCTTCAATTGGAATTATAGTAGAAATCGCAGAAATGAATGCAAATGGATTCTGAGCAAGTCAATGGCAACGAGGTACATCGCAAGACTCGAAGCGTGAGTCAGAGAAAAACCTGAATGTCATTTTTTTCTATCGTCTTGGGGGAGGATCGGCGGGTTGTCTCCGAAGTAGCGTTTTAGAGGTCCAGCCCCAACCAGAAGGGTTGCTATCGTCTTTTCGGGCATCCGTTTAATCTATCAGGCGACGGACCAATGTGATTCGGGGAGAAGACCGGACAGGTTTCCGAGTAGGGCAGAGGGGCGGAAAATAATCCGGCCTACCGAGGGTATGTAGTTTGGGATTACTGGTTAGTGGAAAAATGATTCAAAACGTACCTGAATCTATTTAGAAACAAATATGCCCTGGAGGAATGTTGGCCGTTTTCAGGTCCAAACTCCCGACTTACGGAGAGATGTTGCACCTGATAAAGTGTGACATGTTGAACAGATACCAACTGGGAATGTATCAGAGAAATGCCTTTCCAAAGGAGCATCTGCAAAATTCCCCAATCTGGTTGTGGCTGTTCACTTTTCCCCCTGCTCATGACGTTATCCCGCTTCTGACCGCCAACGACCAACTTCGTCCCTCTACCTCCCCCACATTTCTTGCTTGTATCTTGGAGATTTCAAGTCCAATTTAAGATATCATTCTTATTGCAAAACATGTCCCCACAGAGCCAGGTTCCCGCCCATAGCAAGGGCTCATGGACAAGTTTCCTAAAGGCATGCAACCCCCCATTTGTTTGAGTATACTAGGCTAACAAATTTCTAGTCGATCGCCTCCTTTAATGGTGATCTATCCTCGCTGACTGCTCCTCCCTTTATCCTCTCTACTACCTCCCTCACCGAGTACTCTGCCTACTGGGCCGAGCACCCTACCCTATTTGTGGCACCAGCCAAGGAGGCCGATCCCGCGAAGCGTGCTCTCCTGGTTCTCAAGTGGTTCCTCAGCACACTGCACCAGCAATACTGCAGCCGTAGTGAGAAGCTTGGTAGTGAGAAGAAACCTTTGAACCCCTTCTTAGGAGAGCTGTTTATCGGTAAATGGGACGGCAACGCGGAAGTAGGGGAGACTGTCTTGGTCAGTGAGCAAGTCAGGTATGCGAGGCTACTTCGGTATAGAACTACAACCCACTGATAAAATTACAGCCACCATCCTCCGGCCACAGCCTACGCGATCCGCAATGAGAAGAACGGCGTTCAGGTGAGTGAATAAAGATTGTACCCAAGTCCTGGAGAGGTGCCAATAACTGACAATGCAACCACAGCTGCAAGGATATAACGCGCAGAAGGCCTCTTTTTCTAGTACTATCCTCGTAAAGCAAATTGGCCATGCGCTGTACACGCTCACCCCGCCCGGATCCGACGAGAAGGAGCAATACCTGATCACGCTTCCCAGCCTACACATCGAATCGCTGATCTACGGCTCGCCCTTCGTCGAACTGGAAAAGTCGACCAAGATAGTCAGCAGCTCCGGCTATGTCGCCAAGATCGACTATTCCGGCAAGGGCTGGTTGAGCGGCAAGAAGAATACTTTCAGCGCGAGCCTGTTTAAGGAGAGCGAGGGTGAGAAGCACCCCCTCTACACGGTAGAGGGCCAGTGGTCGGACAAGTTCTCTATCAAGGATGCCCGCACCAAGAACGTCGTCGATACCTGGAACTCCAAGGAGAACCCCGTCACCCCGCTAGGCCTCGCTCCCCTCGAGCAACAGGATCTGTACGAGAGCCGACGTGCCTGGAGCAACGTGGCCGCCAACATCCAGAAGGGAGACATGGATGCTGTGTCCGGATACAAGTCGCGCATTGAGACTGCTCAGCGCGAGCAGCGCCGCCTTGAGAAGGAGGAGGGCCGCGAGTGGGAGCGCCGTTTCTTCAGCCGTATTGATGAGAGTGCCGACGACCCCCAGATCCAGCGTCTTGCTAAATTGGCTGATCTCACTTTCGAGACTGATAAGACTGGCGGTATCTGGCGCTTCGATGCTCAGAAGGCTCTTGGCGCTCAGCCGCCTTACCACAAGGTTGGCGGCGTGGGTCTCGGTCTCGCTGAGTAAACTATCCATGGATATGGATGCTTTTCTTTTCCTCATCTGAATTTGTTTTGGGGCCTTGGTTGCACCACATAGATTTAACTGTTTTTTTGGGATTCCTATTCTGTACCGTGTCATTTTGCATTTCGATTGTATATAGTTCCCGGTCCAGGTTGAAGTCGAAGCCGCGGACTTGCTTAGATGCTTGGACTTGGCGGCTCAACCTTTCCATTTAATGATATGGTACCTTCAATTATCTTATGCTTTACATCTTTGAACGTAATGGAAGTACACTTAGAGGTCGAATGTCGCGTGAATGACAGATGTCTTGTCCTTGACTACGAGAAGCTACAATGTACCATACTAGAACAGTTTTCATATATAGGTGCCATACTGGATCGTACAGGACATACAGAATTCATGACACTTTTGGCCCAGAACGCAACTGAGCATTGGATCTACCTCTACCGGACCCATTCAGCCATACATCATAATCATCGACCAATATTGCACATGGTGAGGAAGCACAAAGACAGAACAACAGAAGGGAGAAAGAAGTAGATAAAAAAAAAAAAAACTGGAAAACCGTCCGCAGAAACAAGTAACACACCGGACCCGAATAGACACCGACTAGGTTATAACGAGAAAACAAAAAGAAAAACAGAGAAACCTAGAGAGGAATTGGTGAATTTAATACAGAGACCGCATCAGATGGGAGCAGTGGTAGCAAAGAAGAGCAAGACGGCTGAGAGGAAGGGTAAGGAAACGAGCAAAACAAAAAACATCAAGAAGACAATCCCCCAAAGTAAAGAAAACCAGCCAAGCTCCCCAAAATAAGAGAAGTAGAGATTACACAGATGTTGAGGAGAGAAAGATGAAGAGAAATTGCCCGGGTACTGTCTGTTTTTTTTTGACAAGACATGTTTTCTTTCCCGGTGAAGTGGACAAAAAACCAAGCCCCTTTTCAAATCATCCGCAAATGCAACGCCATATGTGTTTGGTGGGTCATTATGTCTCCCCTTGGTTTCTTTTGTCTTTTTAGTGGCCGTAGTTGCCACCCCAGCCGCCACGACCAGAGTTTCCATAGTAGTTACCGAAGCCTCCACCATAGTTGTTAGCATAGCCAGAGGCCTGGTGAGTCTGGGTGGCCGCACCCTGGTGACCGAGTCCACCGAGTCCACCGTACTGGGGGTTCAGCTGAGGGTAGCTGCCGAAGGATTGCTGACCCTGCTGACCCTGAAGGGGGGAAGACCAGTCTGTGCCTGGGGCTGACCCGGAACGCTGTTGGTAGCGGATCCAGGACGGTTCTGGGCGAGGGAAGGGCTGGGACCGCCGGCCTTGGGGGCTTCAAAGCCCTTGGTCTCGTCAGTGGCAACGGGAGGCTGTCCGGCAATAGGAGGGGTTTGGCCAAAGCTGCCCTGGGAACGGCTGAAAACATCCGACATCCCAGTACCAAAGGCATTGGCGCCAGTAGCAGACTGGTTGTCAGTCTGCTGGGCAGAGCCGCTGCGGCCGTAGACTGAGTCACGGGTGGGCATGGCCTGGCTGAAGCTACCGGTGTTTGCGGGGGAAGACGATTGCTGTTCATATGAGAAAGCACCGTGGGGCTGGCCGTACATGCCAGCTTTACCGGCGTAGGGACCATACTGGCTACCATAGCCGTATTGCTGGTTGTGCTGCTGCTGCTGCATGTAGTGATCCTCATAGCGGCGAGCATCATCGTACCTCGGGCGGTTAGCGCCACCGTACTGCTGCTGCTGCTGTTGCTGCTGTTGCTGCTGGCCCATCTGGTTCATGTACGAAGCGTAGTGGGGGTTGTTGTAGTAGTTAGGGTATTGGTAGCCGTAGGCGTGCTGCTGCGCAGTTTGGCCAGGCATATGCTGAGCAGCGGGGGTCTGCTGAGTGGCGCCGGGGACAGTGGGGTTGGGGGTGTTGTGTCCGCTGTTAGTGGCATCAACAGGCCCGTAGCGGTTGGGAGGTTGCGTGGTGGGAATCTGAGCCTGGGCCTCAGCACCAGAGACACCAAATCCGGCGCGGGGACCGGTGGGGGCATCCTGGGACTGGCCGTAAGAACCGTAAGAGGCGTAGTAGGGGGAAACGCTGCTGCTCCGCAGCGTAGAAAGGAGAGTACTCGCTGCCGGTGGTGGCAGTAGGCTGAGCAGGGGCCTGGTTGGCAAATGGCTCTGGGATCTGCGGCTGCGGCTGGCTCACCTGCTGGGTGAAGGGATCGAATGGCTTCTGCTGGGGCTCAGAGTAGCGAGCGAAGTCGGTAAAGTCGGCGGAAGCGCCCTGGGGGACCGGGGGCAAGCCAGGAGCAGGACGCCCAGCGGCACCAGTCTCAATTGAGTGTGGTGCCTGAGTCGTGGGGGGAAGAGAGGCACGGGGTGCAACGGGAGAGTGCTGCGGGGGCTGAGCGCGGGTCTCAGCCTCCTCGCGGTTCTCATCAATGTCGATAGCATCACCGTTCAGTCCCATGCTGCCGAACTGAACCGCAGCGCGGTCCACTGCGTGGTTACCGGGCATAACCACAGGCTGCTGCTGTTCCATCACGCGGCGTTGAAGACCGGGGGTACGGCCCTGCTTGGTAGCGCTGGGAGGGTAGGCAGAGGAGAGGGGAATCGGGAGGGAGTAGCAGCAGCTGCGGCCACAGCCGCGGGGTCGATACCACTGCCAACGGTGCTTGCGGCGGTGGCGGTAGGAGCAGGAGCGGATACATCGGGAATCTGTTCGAGGTTCGTCTCGGTCAAATCGCCCTTGGGAGGGTTCACAGTGGTGGTCGGAATGGCAGGGATTACGGGGTGGGTGGGCTTGGCGACGGGTGTCTTCTGGGAGGCAGCGGGGGCAGGGGCAGTCACAGGTTCAGGAGCGGGGGGGTTGGCTCGGCCACGGGCTCGGCGGGCTTCTCGGCGGCAGGAACAGGAGGAGGGGCTTGGGGCTTCTTTTGCACCGGAGGAGCAGGTGGTTTGGCGAAAAGACTCGCCCACCCCTTCTTGGTACCCTCGGGAATCACACTGCTCTTAGGCTCGGTTGATTCCCATTCGGCTTCAGTCGAAGGCTCTGCAACAGTCTCCTCTGCCTTGGGCGCAGCCCACTCAGATGTGATAGCAGGAATAGCAGTAGGCGCCGGAGTCTCTACAGCAGTGGATACTGCGCGAGTTCCATTTGTAGCGGCTCCTGCACGGCCTCCGCGACCGCCACGGCCCCGATCTGCGCGAACACGTCCACGACCCTCTATTCCACCGCGGCCACGGGTTCCACGGGCGGAAGCTGCAGTCGTTTCGGTCGAAACACTCGGGGTCTCCTTGGGCTTAGGGCGAGTTCGGTCTGTGGTCTTCTTCTTGACCTCACCCCACTGGGACACATTACCTGTAAAGCCAGTCAGTCACGGCCCTCGAACCACAAGATTCGATTGATTTCGAGTCGGGGAGATTGGGATTGACGGGGACTCGACCTTCACTAATGCGCTCAATCGCCTCCAACAGCTCGCCGTTCGAGTCTTCCAGTGCGAACACCAGATCTTCGTCCTTCCAGTCTGGGAACATTTCCTTAAGAGTTGGGAGAGTGTCGGAGTACTTCTTCTTCATCTGTCCAATTTCACCCTCCTCGAAGGATGAGATGTCTGAGTTGTCATTTGCAGATCTGTTTCCACCACGACCACCTCTGGAGCTGAAACCGCCACGGCCACCACGGGCGGATACTCTACCCCGCGAGGCGGAGGACCGGTTCTGAATGTCGGACATGTTGATTGATGAAGATGTGTGAGATGGAGAAGTATTGAGGAAGGAGGTCACGATTCGCAGGGAAAGGCTATTGAAATGGAGCACCCTCGCAAAAGAGGAACAGCACCAGAACCACAGGCACAGGGGCCAGAAGAGACGAAAAGAAGAGGTAAAATCAAAGAGATTAATTGGGGGAGAAGGAGAATGCGTTAGGAGATGACAAGATTGAAGAAAGGATCAAAAGCTAACGGGATCTGAGTTGCTTCCCTTCAAGTCTTGGCGTTGCCTGGCTTTTAGCGAGTGGCGCTTATTGGATGCTGGGGGGATTTACAACAAAGGGAGATCTTTACTTTTTTACAATGTTCTAATACGTTTTGGTATAGAATAATTGTTTTTTTTTTAATATATCAAATTTAAAGATGTGGACATTTAATTCTATTCCAATACTTAAATCGAAACAATTTTTGTAAAATGTTCCAAGTGTGGTTTCTTTCTAGTCGTCATTCACCTCTTTTCGCCCTTTGGAAGGGGGAGGGAATGGTTTCACCGCCCTCGTAGATCCTCCCCTCTTAACCTTCCTGTATCATCCAACATACCATTGATAACCATAACCTTCAAATATTCGACCATCATGAAGGGTACATCTATTTTTCAGTTCAAGTCCTGGCCCAAAATTCATCAGCCCTTACCTCGTACTCCACGGGAATCTCAGCAACTGTTAAATGCCCTCACATCTTCCTTCCGTCGTCAATTAGATGGGGCTTATCCCGTATCAGGCAACAATCATGGTCGACCCCTCTCGAACCCTGAATCATCAGCACATGCAACCGATCAACATTTGCAGAGCATCCTTGATAACCCTCTTTTCCGTATCATTCCGACCAGACCTATCACACAAGAACCCACCACATTGCAAAGCGTCGAGGGCCAGCGACGACTAGCCGAAGAACCCATGGCAGTCTTTGATCAAATGGCTGCAACTGGCTCAGTCACTGCACTCATAATCAATGATTGTCTAAAGTCTCAACTTCTCCTTTCCAGGTCCCCCGTCGATATGAAAACATCTCGGGTGGCATCCAGGATCGTTGATTGGTATTGGGCATCAGATGGCACGTCGAGGCAATCCCTTCTGCGTTTGCGGTCAGTGACTACGTCTTTGACCAAGTTCATGGTGGCGGAGGGATTGCACGGTACTGTCATGCAGTGGTTGCAAATGCTCATGAGCCTTGACCTAGGTAGTCAGAATGGCCGGATGACTGAAGGACTAGCACGGCAGACCTTTAATCATCTCCTTGTTGATTTTATAGATGCAGAAGCCTGCTTTGGAAATGGCTTCGGCTCCGCGATGGCACAGTATCTAAGAGTGTGCCAGATGCATTTCCAAAGTGCATCTTCCCCTAAGTCAAGGAAACCGATGCTCCTGGCTGCAGGCGCTCACCTGAGCCGCATGGCCATGGAGTACAAACCATCGGGTGAGCAGGTATCAACATTAGTTTATGATCAGTTCAGGGATACTGTTTCTGTACTGTCTCCTCGGTCCTTGCTGGTAGCATCTGTGGCTGTCTGTCACCCAACAGATCCTGATCCACGCCCATTCCTCCAATTCGTGGCGAACCTCTCACCAAGCAAATTCCAGGCTTGGAATGAAATTCGGCGTGATGCTTTCTTCGAGATAGGTTCGGAAGCTCTTCGCGTCCTCGTTGATCAGAAGAGATTCCGCGATATCTCCCGACTAGAGCAACATATTTCAGAATTGCTACCGGAACAGCCAGCAGCTCCAGTTGATGAGAAGTCACATACATCGTCTGAAGAAGAACATCTCGGTCGTTTGAATTGGGGGTTTACATGATCCTCTAGTCTGAACTTATTGAACCACCACTCTACTCTTGCACATAGCTAGGATGTTCGAAGAGCATCCAAGGCAACAACCAAGACGCACACACATTTGTCTATGTTTCTACTATAAGAGGCGATCATAGGCATGATTCCTGCAGGCATGTCGGCACACTGCTAAGATACAATTTCTCCCCGGATTCAATTGTGTACTATTACACAATCGAAATCATTTCAGCCTGTTCGACAAAACTTCATTTTCCGAATCACCGAGCAAAGGAAAGCCACTGCCGCTACTCCACTCCGAGTTAGAGCCTCAATTTCTTGGCACTATATTTTCCGAGTTATATGAGGGATTTAAGTTGCTAGGAAGACTCCCGAGGTCGGCTGAACCAGCATTTGGAGGTGTGTGATGCACCTGAATACTATCAATTACCCTCAAACCCGCCTTTTCGTTGTATCAACATACGAAAACACTTCTTTTTTTGAGATGTATATATATATATATATAACATACTGTCAATAGTGGCTCGTCCAGTTTCCTAGACAAGCCCTTTGGGGCTCAATGAAGAGCATAACCTTAGCATCTATACACGGTCTCCTAACTAGTGATAAGATCCGCAGCCCCGGCCTCTGTGATCAATCTACCAAACCTGTTCCAAGGTTGTGCTCACAGCTACCGCTTGTGGAGAACATTGCGCGGCAATTGTAATTCTAAAGCCAGTGAGGTTGTGCGACAGAATGCCGTGGAGAGTCAAGTGGACTAAACCGGCGAATCAGCCGGGGGTAGTGTCTCCAGGGCTCTCAAGTACGTCACCGCGCGACCTCACCTCACCCTGCCCCCAAATCAACCGACTCATCTTTATTATTTTTTTTCCTCATACAAACTCATATATCGAAGAATTGCAGTTGCATTACTTTTGCGAATACTCTCCCATTCAATCTTTACCAATTTATAACGCGCTGCTCCGGCATCTGACATCATCGATCCACAATGGCTACTGAAGGAGCCCCCGTGCACACCAAGATAGCTCCAGGTACGTGGTTTATCTGCAGATTCACTACCGCAGAATCCAAGGAGTAACTGGTCTAAGTGGCCAATTATATTCTCAATATATTTTTGCATGCTGGTGTTTCTTTGCTTAAACGTTAGCTTGTAAAATGCATGCCAGTTGCTGACTAAGAGATATAACAGATCAGGACACTGCCCAGCTAATTAGAGAACACTCGCATGCATTCCAGAACAGATTAAACACAACTCAAACGGATAGCCCGGCTCTTACCGAGACAGCAAAGCCCGATATAGACAATGACCTAAAGGCCGAGTCAGGGCTTGAAACACCCAAGCCCGCAGAAACCAAGCCTGCTCCAGATACTAAGCCGCCTGTGGCAGAGCCCACAGGATCTCCTATCGGCAGTATTACCGTTGCACGCGAGTCGCAAGTTTCAGTAGGACCCATGAATGAAACAGTGGCAGGCGAGAAGCGTGGCATTGATTCAACTGTGACGCCCACTCCGGCCCCGGCTCAGGACGAGGTGCAACAAAAGCCCGAACTGTCGGATGAGCCTGATACCAAGAAGCTGAAGGCAGGCGAAAAGCCTGCCAAAGAGTCCAATGGCACCGATGCTGCTCCCTCCAACACAGAAAACGCAGGGCCGAATAAGACTAGTCGGTCCAAGAAGGATAAGATCAAGGATGCCGTGAACAAGGTTATCCCAGGAGATGGCATTGGTAGCCGGACGCGCAGCCGAACCAAGGGTGCTTGAATAGATTCCAGTCACTTTATGCAGGTTTGCAGCGTTACTTCCATCTCATCATCGTGGCTATACACCCGCTGCAGTAAAAAGAATGTCCTTGCCTTGACTAAAATTGGGATGGGAACGATTTCAAAATTAAGAGCCACAGAAGTTCCACGCAATATATGCCTGACATATGACCTTCTAAGAAAATAAAATTTTCGTACACCGCACTAGTAAGTATGTATCTAGTATGTAGACATCTGCGTTGCTATAACTTCTGATTGACATAACCCTATCCATCCTTACTCTAGAATATATTCCTATGGCAAAATTCTCCCTAGGGTGCCAGTTCTTTAAACAATTTTCTAGACAAAATTGAATCCATGACCTACGACTCTTTCGGTAGGCTGGGTTGGGTTGTAGGCCGATAATCGGGACTGAGTCATTTCTCGGAGCGGATTAACCCTTCCATCCCCGCTTATTACTGGAAGGGAAAGTCTGTGTCATTATTGATGATAGAGCGATTAATATTTGGTTTCTTTTTCTCTCTTCATCATATTCTAATTCTCTACTTTCAAAATGGCTGGACAAAAGATTTGGCTGCGCGCTGAGACCAAGCCCGCTGAGGCCCGGTCTGCCTGTGAGTAGCTTCAGCCCCTACAATGGCGGGGAAGCAATTGACTAATACACCATCTAGTGACCCCAACTACCTGCAAGGCATTGATCGATGCTGGATATGACGTGACTGTCGAGCGGTCCACCCAGCGCATCTTTGAAGGTAAGTCTACTCCCTCTACTTCCTCCGTCTCTTGCTGTTGGGCTCAATGACTGATTCCGCTCTATAGATGAGGAATTCTCCAAGGTATGATTCATTCGGTGCTATAGCTCGAACCCGCCCTAAATATAATCAATTGTCATAGGTCGGTGCGCCTTTGGTTGCAGAGGGATCCTGGGTTCAGGATGCCCCCAAGGATGCCGTCATTCTGGGTCTCAAGGAGCTGCCGGAGGATGATTTCCCTCTGGAGCACGTCCACGTCACATTCGCACACTGCTTCAAGCAGCAGGGTGGCTGGGAGAAGGTTCTTAGCCGTTGGCCTCGCGGCAACGGCACATTGCTCGACCTCGAATTCTTGACTGATGATTCCGGACGCCGAGTTGCTGGTAAGACTCATACCCTGAGGTGTTCTTTTTCTTTTGACTCGATTGCTAACTTGGTTCGTTTACTAGCCTTTGGATGGTCCGCCGGTTACGCAGGTATCTATACATGAAGCTCATTGCCTGACAAAATCAACACTAAGACGTCGAACAGGATCCGCTTTGGCTGTGAAGAACTGGGCTTGGCAATTGACCCACCCCAACGAGACCTTGCCTGGTGAGGTTCCCTACGCCAACCAAGACCGTCTGGTCGAGTCTGTTAAGGAGGCGCTCGAGGCCGGCAAGAAGGTCGCTGGCAGGGCACCCAAGATTCTTGTTATTGGAGCTGTGAGTCTTGCGTAGATCGACAGAAAGCGATATACATATTAACAATGCTATAGCTCGGACGCTGTGGCAGCGGTGCCGTGCAGCTGGCCAAGGATGTCGGTATCCCCGAGTCCAACATCATTCAATGGGATATGGCAGAGACTGCGCGAGGTGAGTCAATTTTCATCTCCAACCTCTTCACTCTAATCCTAAGCTCACAAACTAACTTCCACAGGTGGTCCTTTCAAGGAAATCTCACATGAAGTGGATATCTTCGTGAACTGCATCTACCTCTCGGCCAAGATTCCAGGTAATTTTACACATATATCCTCTCGTCTCGACTCAGTTAGCTAATATCTTTTTTTGCATTAGCCTTCGTGGACGTGGAGTCTTTGTCCGCCCCCAACCGAACCTTGTCTGTTATCTGCGACGTCAGCGCCGACACGTGAGTTATCAGGCTTGAACCATGCTAGCAAGCGCACCGCTAATTCTCAAAAGCTCCAACCCCTTGAACCCCATTCCTTTGTACAACATTACGACCACATTTGATAAGCCAACGGTTCCCGTCTCCGGGCTGGAGGCTGGAGGCCCCCCTCTCAGCGTCATCAGCATTGATCACCTCCCCTCCCTCCTTCCCCGTGAGAGCTCTGAGATGTTCAGCGAGGCTCTCTTGCCTAGCCTTCTCACGCTTAATGACCGGGCCAACTCTCGGGTCTGGAAGCAGGCCGAGCAGCTCTTCGATGAGAAGGTTGCTACCCTACCTCAGTCGCTTTAGGCGTAAGCCTGTTGAGCTGGTAGGTGTCTATGTGGAGGAGAAATAGACATGATTGAGTGCAGTTTATAGAAATATTTCCAGATAAGGAATGCTACAAAAGTTGCATGTTCAAACACATACAGATACTGAAGATATTATGAATGGTTCCTTTATTTCCTTCTAGAACGGCCGTAGAAGGTTTATTGTCTCTGCTCGTGTGACAAGCTATAGGGCTGTTTGAAATACTTATCTTGGTATTTTTGGTCAATCATTCCAGTCATTTTCAACCGAATCGCTGTATATGGCGGAGATGAGTCTTGAAAGTTTATATTACTTTCGAGATGCCTGAGCCCATATATATTTCGAAAGATAGATACTCTTACATTCCTCAAAACTTGTCCAGGCAATGGCCAGGTGGCTCGGTTTACCCCAGACTACATGTGACCGCGGTCAACCTTCCAAATATGCGGGGATGCGTAAGACGGATATCCGGAGAATCCGTGGGGGTCTAACCCACTATAACGGTGTCTGGGCCAAGAGGACCCCATTGGATGAAACGAGAGTCTCACACGAAAAGAGAGGAATGTGTCTTCATCTTGGAGTGGAGTTTGCCCCGTTTTATTGTAACCTGATTTCGGGCTCCGGACGAAAATGCTCATTGTTTCTTCTCTCCGCATGAACCGCGCTCCGCTCTCACCCTTTCTCCCGTCCCCGAACTTATTCGATTCTGCAAAATCGTTCTCTTCAACCTTGGACCCCACATTGGACTTCTCTTGTGATTTATTTTAGGATATTCAACGCCCTTACCTACATCCGGGCCAATCCGAGAATGGGGCAATAAGATAGAAGTCTGCTTGCTTCACCACCACGAACCGCCGAACCTCCCTTCCTCTATACCACAACGCTTGATGCAAGAAAAGCCGACAACGGTCGCCGCCTATGCGGCTGGGGCCTCGCTCGCTGCCGTTGCTCTGTTCTACGTCTTCGGGCCAAACTACACAATCGACGGAGATGAGTCAAACGACAGCAATCGCAAGAAGAGCATCGTGGGCCTATCCAACCTAGCCAATGACTGCTTTATCAATTCGGTGCTGCAGGCGTTAGCCGGGTTGGGGGATCTGCGGGTCTACCTGATCCACGAGCTGCACCGGCGCCACCTGGACGGACCGGAAATATACCAAACACTGCCGAGCGAGGGGGAACTTTCACCGGCGCGGTCGGACAAGTTGCGGGAGTTGCAACAGGGGATAATCACACGGGCATTGAAGGAGATGTTGGACCGATTGAACGAGCGGCCGATCTATAAGAAAACAATCTCGGCCCGTGACTTCATCCAGGCTCTGGAATACGCGTTCCGCACGCGCATCAGCCGCAATCAGCAGGACGCGCAGGAATTCTTGCAGATTGTTCTCGAGCGACTATGTGATGAGTACCACGCTGGTGCGCGCGCACGTAAACGAGCACAGGATGCCATCGATGCAGCTACTTCTAGCCCGGCAGGCGAAGAAGCCAGCAGACAAGAAAGTTCGTCCGAAGTGGAGGTGCGCATCGATGACGGATCGGTCAACGGACTGCCTGCAATTATTGATACGAAACTCAAGCAAATCGACCAGGAGCCTGGGTTCCCATTCGAAGGCAAAATGGAGTCGCAGATCGAGTGCCAGTTCTGCCATTACCAGTACAAGCCCAACCAGACGGCTTTCGTCAATTTGACACTACAGGTTCCACAGAAGAGCTCGACTACGCTCAACTCGTGCTTCGACGGTCTCCTCAAGACTGAATATATCGAGGATTTCCGCTGCGACCGATGCCGCCTGCAGCATGCCGTGGATGTGAAGACTACCGAGCTCGCCCGTGCCCGAACACAAGGTGATCGGGATCGGTTGGACCAGGAGATTTCCCGCATCCGCGAGGCTCTGGAGACGGACCCTGAGGCCGAGCTGGAGGGTATCGTATTCCCCCCGTCAGAGACCGCCCCCAAGCGCAGGATTGCGCGGCATATGCGCATCACGGCGTTCCCAAAGGTCATTGCTATCCACTTGTCGCGGTCGATCTTTGATCAGAGCAGCTCGAGCAAGAATGCGGCCAAGGTCTCGTTCCCGGAGCGGCTCCCCTTGGGAAGCATCTTGAGCCAGAAGTGGTACAAGTTGCTTGCGATTGTCTGCCACAAAGGTAGCCACCATAGCGGACACTACGAGTCCTTCCGACGGAATCATATCTACCCGCCGTTCTCGACACCCGAGGCCTTCAGCTCCTATGCGCAGAGTCGCACTGCCAGTCAGAACGCCTCCGCGGCGCCCAGTCCTCGGATTGTACCACGCAGCAGCCCCGATGTCGACGATGGAAGCATTTCGAGAGCAGGCTCATCGGCCTCGCTATCTGGAGCCTCGACCTCAGCTTCGGCGACTCAACTCACCCCTCCTCACCCACGACCTACCACCTCTGGCTCACGTCGTTCTTTCCAGAGGAATACATCCCGTTCCTCTAAACAGACGTTGTCACCTGCCTCGGATAGCAACAGCCCGACGACTGACCAGGGTCGTTGGAGTCCGTCCCCGGGCTCTTCCCGCAGCATACCTGGCCAATCCCAGGATACTCCCACGGGGGTCAGTTCGCGGCTTCGTCGCCGTCGCAAACCGAACGATCGCTGGTGGCGCATCTCCGACGAAAAGATTAAGGAATGTAAAACCTCGGACGTGCTGGCCATGCAGAGGGAGGTTTATCTCTTATTCTATGAGTTGGAGAAACCCGATGCGAGTCCTACCGAGGGACGTAGATAGTCGGACCTTTCATTTTCATTTTTTTTTTTAGAGTCCAGTATATACACATATTCCCGTACTTCTATAAATAGGGGATTTAGAAAGATGTATTGAATCAGACTGAAAATGCCCAACAGAATAGTCCGAATCCCCAATGAAAAGGGAAAAGGTAACTTCCGATAAACGGCGATGATGTCACTTGACTTTCTACAGCTCAGCTCTACAACATACGATGGATGTACAAAGTACACTTGACGAACATTCAATTAGTAGACTGGAGAAGGAATTCAAGGAATACAATAAACTTGAATAACTGAATGAATGAATATATGACTAACATACGTACTCGCGGGGACAGTGGAATTGCAGCGAATGGCCTCGAACTCCTCGGCACCCCGCCACGAACAAAACACGGATTCCTCGGTCACTTTTAAGCGATTTCGGGGTAGTTACTCTATAGATATTATAGATGTTAGAGCTGTATAGCTGTCATAGGTATTTAGAAATATGACAATTGAAAAACTAGAAGCACAAACTCATGCGAGAGGTGTAAATAAAAAACCCCTCCTAATCCCCTATAAAGAGCTCCCGAGACCTCAAACGGTATCGGGCCATCACGGGGAAGGTCGGGAATACCAAGAGACTGGCCATACATAAGGAGGTTATATCATCTTTCTTCCTTTCTTTTCTTGAAATCACACTGACCTCACTCTAGTTCCACATCTCCACCACCGGTGAGTCCTACCTTGTCTCTCTCCCTTCACCGATGACGCTTGCCCCTCTACATTTTGCCCCTCTTCCTTATTTAACTCTGCCCGCTTTCAGCTCCCGGTAAAGGCGAGAGCTGTAATACTACATTAACTAGATCTGACCCCTTCTTTTTTCTTTCTCCTACAGATTTCTACAAACCAAAATCTTTGTACAAACTTCATAATGGGTGTTCTTGAGCAACTTAGCCGCAAGTCCGGCGTCATTGTCGGCGACGATGTTCTCCGTCTCTTCGAGTACGCTAAGCAGAACAACTTCGCCATCCCCGCCATCGTGAGTTCTAAGTCTTCTTTGGGCCAATCTTGGAGAATCCTAAACTAATTCCCACCAGAACGTCACCTCCTCCTCCACCGTTGTTGCTTCCCTCGAGGCTGCTCGTGACCAGAACTGCCCCGTCATCCTGCAGGTCTCCCAGGGTGGTGCCGCTTTCTTCGCCGGTAAGGGTGTGAGCAACGAGGGCCAGAAGGCCTCCATTGCTGGTTCCATCGCCGCTGCCCACTACATTCGTAGCGTGGCCACTGCCTACGACATCCCCGTCATCCTTCACACCGATCACTGCGCCAAGAAGCTCCTCCCTTGGCTCGATGGTATGCTCGATGCCGATGAGGCTTACTTCAAGCTGCACAACGAGCCCCTCTTCTCCTCCCACATGATTGATCTGTCCGAGGAGCCTGTCGACTACAACATCAGCACCACCGCTGCCTACCTTAAGCGCGCTGCCCCCATGAAGCAGTGGCTCGAGATGGTATGTCAATTTAAAAAAAAACAGACCCTTAATTGCAACATTGAGTGCTAACAACTTTCATAGGAGATCGGTATCACCGGTGGTGAGGAGGACGGTGTCAACAACGAGTCTGTTGACAACAACTCCCTCTACACCCAGCCCGAGGACATCCTGGCCATCCAGAACGCCCTCGCCCCCATCAGCCCCTACTTCTCCATTGCCGCTGGCTTCGGTAACTGCCACGGTGTCTACAAGCCCGGCAACGTCAAGCTCCACCCCGAGCTTCTCTCCAAGCACCAGAAGTACGTCAAGGAGCAGATCAAGTCTTCCTCCGACAAGCCCGTCTTCTTCGTCTTCCACGGTGGTTCCGGCTCCTCCAAGGAGGAGTTCAAGGAGGCCATCAGCTACGGTGTCGTCAAGGTCAACGTCGACACTGATATGCAGTACGCCTACCTGACCGGTGTCCGTGACTTCGTCCTCAACAAGAAGGACTACCTCATGTCCCAGGTCGGTAACCCCGATGGTGCTGATAAGCCCAACAAGAAGGCCTTCGATCCCCGCGTCTGGGTTCGCGAGGGTGAGAAGACCATGAGCAAGCGTGTTAAGGAGGCCCTTGAGGACTTCAACACTGCTGGCCAGCTGTAAATGTCGATGTCTCTATGATATCGCATCTTTGATTCCCTTTGTTTACCCTTTTTGATTACCCTCATATCCTCTCTTCATGCGGCCGAAAAAGCGTTGGATGTGCCTGGGGATGTGGACGTCCAGGTTGTATGTAGCGTTGTATACTGACACGCTGTAATGAATGTCCATATCACGGTCCTTATGACCGCTCCTTTGGAATATGAACTGTAACGTTCTATTTGATAATTGTGCACCACCAATCTCCGATGTAGTCACTAGACCTCACAGCCCGAGTGTTTGAAGTGTACTTCAATCTATCCATTATTAACTAGAAATTATATAACTATGTCCATCCATAGATTCTGTTAGATTACTGTATGTATTTGATGTTTGCTCCTCCTACCTGTTCCGTTGTAACCCAATCCTGAATCTTAAGATGTAGGACACGATGTGCTTTACTCGACGGGCAAACTATGGGGCTTCTCTCCTCTCATGTCTTCTCAGTTCTCTCCTACTATCACAAAGCTCGTCAGAGCGATTGACCAAACCCTTCCTTACTTCTATCAACCTCCATAACCCAAAACATCGGTGTGAACCCTATCTCCTCCCACCCTCTATCCCCATTTTATACTAACAAACCTCCATCAAATAGAAACTAACCTAGCACACAGCCTAACATGTCACCTACCCAATTTACCCAGCTTCCACAACTGGTACGTACAAGCAAATCCAAATATAGCCATCCACACTAACGAACACACCATCACAACAGGTCCTAGACCTCGGCGACGAGCTAGAAGAACTAGTCTACATCAAGACAGCAATTGGAATCTACGACCGAAGCATGTTGACAATCATCAACTCGACAACGACACCCGCACAGCTCAATCTCCACCGCGGATCCTGGCTGCAGGCCATGTCGAAAGTAGCATCCTTGCACCGAAGTATCGTGGCGGATTTTAATCGGCTGCCCGGCCATTTGAAACGCAGCTTTGTGAGGGCTAATCGTTTAACTCTGAATGAGCATGGGTTTCGGCCTTCGGCTGATAACTTGGAGATTACTCGTCCTGGTAGTAGGAGGGTTTTTATTTTGCCTTGAAATGGGAGCGAGATACATACTGGTATGTTGGGTGTGGAATTATCTACGCTTGTGTATTGTTGTTGACTGGGTTGTTATGCTAGAGTCGGGATGATGTTGTTCGACTCCTTGTTATCAAGGAGGGAGGTGATGAGTGGTTGTTTATCTCTCTTTGGCTCCTGTTGATATGCTTGAATGCTTCTGCTAATGAGAGGTTCAAAGGTTCATTCATGCTAATAGGAAATTGATTCTCAGGATTAAGATTTCACCAACACATTGATCCTCGTGCATTGAAACTGGCTGAACCAACCGATAACTCAGTAGGTACGACTACTCTACAGGAAATAATGTCTTCCAACGGAACGCCCGCAAAGAGAAAATGGATAAACACGCTGTTGATGCCACAGCTATGCAACACAGGTTCCGCCAATAATATAAACCATAGCAGTGATCAAGTCTCGCATTAAGGATTTTACAAGAATAACATGACAGCGTTTCAGTCGTAAGCGGGGTGACTCCCCGATAGGGATAACTCATTATATGATGCGGGCGCGATTTCAAATATGCAGCTATCCTGCACGCCCAGCTCCAGGGTAGCAGCATACATGTACACAACACAGATCATTTTCGATAGAGCAGCCGGTTCTCGAATCAGAGCACAGCAACGCTATCAACAAGCGTACTTGCGAGTCCACTCCCGCGCAACCTCCTCGTAGCGTGCCCGGTCGTTCTTGTATTGCTCTGCAATCCGCCCCTCGACGGCATCATCGGGCATCGGCTCGGCTAGTAGCTGTCTGGCGAACTGGAGGACTGCGGCGATCTTCGAGCTGGGTTTCCATTCGTCGGCTCGGAGCATGCCTAGGCACATGCTTCCTTTGTCGTCGTTTGTTACGTTTGGGTGGTAGATTTTAGTTGCGAAGGAGACTGTCGGTGGCTTGAATGGGTATTCCGTGGGGAGGGAGAGCTTGACTAGGAACTTGCCATTCTGTGTTGTTTGCCACGAGGTTAGAAACGCTGTTTGTTGGAGTTGGACTGGGAGGTTCGAGTTCGGGGACTCCCTGTTGGAGACCTTGGTGGGAGATGGTGAGGATAAAGGGAGACAGATCATGTTTTGACATACGTGGAATGGCGAGCCTTCAGGCCCATCCATTTTGACCCTCCACTCGTACACGTTCGACTCATCGGCCAACTCAACCGTGATCCCTTCTGGAGGGGATTCGGTGAGCTCAGCCAGCTCCTATAATTAGAATAGATGGTCAGTACACTGGTAGATGACAATTGTCATGTGAAAATATAGGTATTCACCTTGGATATGCGCTTGATGCTGCCCATTGTGGTGTTCAGTTGTGGATTTGGCGGGGCGATAAGAGCGGGGAGGTCGAGGGGGGGGAGATGCAGGCAAACGCGTTAATCCAAGACGCGCTTCAAGATGTCGAGGCTGTAAATAAACAGAGATTTATTGAGTAATATAGTAAATACGCTGTGTGCGGGAAATGTTAGAAGAACAAAGGGGGCTTTTAGGTCGAAGCTAGAAGCTCCGAGTGGGGTGCGCGGCAAAAGACGTCAGTGGAGAAGTTTGATATCTTCGCCGTCCGCTCTATGTACGGACAGCATAGTGGACATACTATAATTGACACGCAAGATCCATTCATACTCTGTTAACTTTTAATGTATTTAGCTTCATTCCTACCATTACCAATATAAAATACGTTACTCTCTCTGGATCATGACCATCAGTCCCATAAGCCCTAGCATCACTGTCTTCAGCCAGGGATGTTCGCTAAGCATGATAGTAACGTATCCAACCATAGGTATGTAGCCACGAACACTGCCAACAATGTCCTCCGCCCGGTCGAGATAATCCTGGTCTAACCTTGTCAGTAACCTTCGGAAGTGGGCTTCTTCGCGCTTCCGCATCGCTTACCTTGAGCATATAGCTCAGTATCGTCTGCCAAATTGTTATCGCCCTAGGGAGATGTTAGAGATTACCCAAGCCAGTCAAATTGCTAGGTCGCCTACCTTGGTGAGAAGCATATGCGTGTTGGGTGTTGTGTCCCTAGAACCTAGTTAGCACAAAGAAGCAGTCACAAGATTGCCAGGTAATGGGCGAGGACATACACTGTAACTTCCTTCACCTTCCTCGCGCTTACGCGCCCTTCTACCTGAGGGAAAGTGCGAACAACCCTGTGGACAATCGGAATATCCTTTCCTCGAACATTATAAACAAGAACTTCTCCGATCTCCGCCCTCGTGTCTCGATTCCAGAGGAAGAGCAGGTCACCACGCTGAAATGCGGGCTCCATTGATCCTGCAGAGATGGAATGTGAGCTGTGTTCAGACCGTCGTGAAATAGCTTTGTTTACCGGATAACACCACAACTATTGGAGAGCTTGATGCGGACACGACCGAGAGGCCTTTCCACATCATAAAAGCTGTGGAAAGCACCAGTGCAAAGTTCAGCACTTGTGCAATTGATTGCCGAGCATTTGTGATGCTGGAAGAGAGGGAGGATAGCATGGTGGGCGGTTCGCGATCAACGGAGAGGCGGGAGGGTTGGGGTAGGTCGCTCTAATAGTGGCTGTTCTTGGTCAGAAATACTGCCCAAGGGATATTTTTTTTCTCCCTTGCTTTCTCCTGCAGAATGGTAGATAAAGACGATACCTATTGTGTCCAGCTAAATGGGCTGGTTGGGTTGTCGTGTTTTGATAGAGCTAAAAGGTGCGGAGAGGTGGCCTCGTCGGAGATCGTCTTGGCGCAGATCCACTGGCTTTTCCGCCTTGCAGGTATAACCACCGTGTATATTTGGAGTACCACAGGTGAGTTCAAACATCAGATTTCAGCTGGTCCAGTAATTGAGACCTCATCAAATCAAAAGTATTATAGTTTACTTCTCTGTCCGGTAATTTATCTGAATACCAGCGGGCCCCTGGTTGCAACGAAGAGACTTGGGTGCTTTACAGGTCTTGTGAGAAGACATGTGCTACATTGTAGAAAGACGTGTTTAACTGAAGTAGATTTCCCTGGCCAGATCCCATGGTCAGGGGCAAGAGTAGGATCTGGTTGCTCTCTTCAAAGCTCATCATGGCTCGACGAACTGGTGGTCACAGATCGCAGATCATTTGAAAAGTTTGTTAGCAACTTCGGAGTTTATAGTGTGCGGAAATGAAACAATATTCTAGTAAAAGAGAGACTGTCAGATTGGTTGGTATGAAGACCGCACTATATCCGTTTCAGTCTAGAACCGTTCTATCCAGGCAACCATGTATACATATAGTTAATGATATCCAGGATATACCTTGTTTCTCGTGCTGTAACGCCTTGACTTATTTGTCTACTTAAAGGTGGTATCTGCTAAGCTAGACTTAAACAAAGACATACGAATCCTAGGCCCTCGCAGACTATACAAGAGCGGGTCATGTCCCATCTCCCCGGACATCCTTAGATATCGATCAAAGCTTGTTCCTTTTCTTGGGATATGGCCACAGATCTTTTGATATTCATGCATAAGCTACTACATAGCTTGGCATTAAAAGCAGATAGCTTTTCTTCTTCATTGTTCTCTGATTCTTCCAAGAGCTGCACCTTTTGAGGTGCGCCGAGAAATCATCATGAAGAATGTTGCTATCCCTAGAAATTAAGCCAATAGCCTACGTCTCGTGACTAAAATCGTCATCATTCTCTGAGCCATATAAACATCCAATGAGATAGATAGTAGGGATGTTCATGGTATATACTTGGTTTTGAAATATGAAGCTTGACTTACCTACCATGCTTGAGCTGATCCACCTATCGGCGGATGGAATTCGGTAGATAGCAAGATTCCTGAGGAAATTATAGGTGACTGACGCGTTGTATGTATTGCCCTGAGCTCCCAAACTCCCACTGCGCAGATCGCAAGGGGCTCCATTCTTCGGGGCAAGGTTTGCATAAAAATGTCCGAGCAGGAATACTTGCGAAGATGATAAAAGCCCGAATCCCACTCCAGATCAGCTTTATTCAGGACTGACGTATGATAACGGCGACCCTGTTGAACATTTTTGATAATTATTTCTATATGATTTGATCCACGGTTGCCCAATATGCAGTCTATCTCCTCAGAATCGACCTTACCGACAGACGAGCCCAAAGTTTCAGCCCTTGAGCTCCTGCGTGAGCACCACCTTGAGCTTACCCCAGATGGAAAATATGTGCGATGGTTGCGAAATCACCCAAGGCATCCTCGAAATTGGTCTGGCCTACGAAAGACTTACGATATTATCCTCATCTGTCTCTTGGATCTTTTTATGTGTGTCCAAACTAAATCAACATTAGTTTTTGTCAATAAGCTAACAATAACTGCAGAACAGCATCCAGCACCGCAGGTGTGAGTGTATACAGCTATCATGAATAGCCTACAAGATTGATGAGCTAACACCGTGATCTGTTCTAGTCGGCAGCTGCTTCACAGGCCAAACATGAATACAATATCAGTGAAACGCTTTCTATTTTTATATTTGTCACAATGTAAGATCAGCCGGTCTTGGTATACTTCGCGCATCTGACATCAAACAGATTTCTTCTCGGCCAGGTGGCAGGCACTATCTTATTTCCCCCGTGGTCGGAGACATTTGGGCGAAGGAACCTATACATTGTGAGCAGTGGTCTCAGTGCCATTTGCTGTATGATCATCGGTGTTGTGCGTGCAATGCCGGTCATTATCATCATGCGCATCATCGCCGGGATTCTTTCCGCCATTCCTTATACCATCGTCGGCGGCAGCATCGAGGACATGTTCGACTCGCATGCTCGAATATGGGCCATGTATTATTGGACAGTTGCTTCGAACATTGGTCTCATTCTTGGACCCATCATGAGCAGCTATATTATTGCAGGTCTTGATTGGTATGTAGCCCTCAACTATGGTCTGTGTAAATTTCTCACAACCGCCCAGGCGATGGAACTTCTATATCTTCGCCATCATCATTGCTGTAATTGCATTTGGTCTCTTATTCATTCGCGAATCTCGACCTTCCTTGTTGCTGGCCTGCGAGGTGAAACGAGTCACCGATATGACTACTATGCAATCAATTCCACCGCCACTCAACCACGACCATATCCCGGATCTCAATATCTTTGTAAAAGAAGCCCTCTTTCGTCCAGCCCAGCTCTTCTTCCAAGAACCCATAATTTTCGTCATCGCAATGATGATCTCCGTCGCCATGTCCCTCATCTACATATTCACCGAAGCCCTCCAACCCATCTACGAGTTAATGGGATTTGCAAAAGCCGAAGCTTCACTGATGTTCATCGCGATCGGCCTTGGAACCTGTCTCAGCACGTTGACGCGCGTGCTAGACGGCTATGTTCTTAACTATTTCCGCCGACAGGGACGCCCTATTAAGCCGGAATACAAGCTCATCGGGCTAGGCCTTGGTGGTCCAGTCCTAGCGATTGGTCTATGGTGGTTTGCCTGGACTATTCCACCCGAGACTCACACTCCGTGGATTGTGCCCACGATTTCCCTTGTTCTGGTGGGCTATGCGCTGACGGAAATGGATGTAGTGCTGTACGGGTATATCTCCGACTCTTACCTGAGTTACTCTGCCAGTGCCACGGCTGCTGTTGCATTCGTACGAGCGCTGCTGTCAGGTGTCTTTCCGCTGTTTACAACCCAGATGTTTGCTCGGTTAGGGAACAATAACGCTATGTCTGTGCTTGCTGCTATAGCAACTGCCTTTTGTATAGTACCGCCTATGTTTATCTGTTATGGAGAGCGAATTCGTCGGGCGAGCAAGTTTGCTCGGCATAGTTGGGAAATCCAGGAGGAGCTGGGTAAAGAGAAAGAAGATTGGTGATCTATGGGCTTTTGTTTATATATATCTGCGATTTCCAGGGGAGTATTCTAAATCATGTGAGATACAAATTATATGAGGACCAGATAAACAAAAGGTAAGAACCAGAGTAACCTCTTATCGACACAAAATGCACTCATACGTCTTGAGTGGCTTTAGCAGTGGCGTCCTCTCCCTGAGTGAGGCTTGCTTTCCAATACTTCTCTTTCTTGCCTCGGCTAACAACCAGTCCGTAGATATCAAATGGATCGACAACTGTCTGGAGCCAATGACGTGGATCGTCATAGCCAGGACCCTCAATCTCCGTGACACCATCTTCGGCGAGATAAATCTTGTTTGATCGCGGAAGCCGGTGCATGGGATGGAAGACATTCATCAAAGTGGTATTGCTATACATGAATACAACCTCAAAAAACCAGAAGAACCACTCCTGTTTCAATAAAGGACTGATATTCTCCAGGTCAGTGTAAGCGTTCAGACTCGCAGCAGTGAAGTATTCCACGGTGCGATAGATGGTACGGATCGTAATGAGGGTGCAGCTGCAGTACAACGCCAGTAGCGCATGTTTGATCTTGTGGTTCAATACGCCTCCTCGGGCGCAATTAAAGTGGAATCGGCCGGCCAAAGTCATAAAGCCTGCCATTAAAGCGATCTGCATGATAAGAGCCGCCTTCAGTAGCGCCTTGCCGGTGTTTTGCGAGCTGACACTAGAGTCTGCACTTGCGACTCGGGCTGCCCCGTTTGCCGTAATGATCTCAATGGCCATACCAAAGACGATGAAGGTCGTGAATACACGGCCAGGGTGGATGGGGGAGTGGTATGGGATGTAGTAAAGTATGCGACCCAAAATGAAGAAGTTAGCAACCTCGTATACTGGCCTAGAATCATCGAGGATAGGTTGTCAGTAGCGTATCTCATGATAGGATGGGTATTCCTTACGGTCCGGCGAGGAGAAGCACAGTGCTTGCGATATAGACGCCTAGATTTCCCCACTGTCCGAAAGCTCCAATAGTTCGTATGATAAAACCCGCCGTGAACAGGAGGGCAGACCATGGAAGAAGGCCAGTGACTTTCCAGGACTTATATTTGCTGGGAAATTTGGTTAATTTTAGAGGTCATAGTAGATAAAGGTCACATACAAGCATTGATATCCATGGATGCCGCCAGAAATAGCGAAGAGAATTGCAAAGGCAATTGCAGCGCCTTTGTTTGGTGCATAGAACCACAAGCTCCCCTCCTCTTTGTTTTGTCAGATAAACTATTGATCGTGATTGACTTGGGAGATGACTTGCGATGTGATGACCGCTCCTCGAGCATGGTTGTTGTAGATCCACCAACTATATATCGCTTGGTGAGTTTGCGCAAAAGCACTACTGTGTAGTTGATGTAATTGGCAAGTTGGAGAGTGTGAATATTTTGCTGAAAGGACGTTCGATTTATATATACAATATTTGGGCCCCGTGCTTTGGTGGTTTTCATGTCAAATAAATACACAGTTTGGCATCCCGAAGTGAACACTTTAGGCAATTTCGTATTCCTCTAACTTTCCCCCTTATGGTCTCTATTTTGCATAGTTCCTCGATTTGGATCCACAAAGAACGGTCAGATATCGAGGGTCACTGGTCACTGGCTCATCGGAATAGCGGATCGACGCTTAGGCTTAAAATGACCTCGTATCTGCATCAG